GCAGCAGCAGCTGCTGGAATAATAAATGCGCAGTGCATTGGGGGCAGAGCCGTCACACACTTGGGATTGCGTGCGTGCAGTTTGTCACGAGCATGAAGCCCGTAGTGGCAAAAACCTCTCCTACGTGGTTTGCTTTCTATACGTATCTGCTCACGCCTAGCCTTACCGGTATGCAGTGAAGCTTGGATATAACGACACTCTAGCTGGCAAGAATAATGTCCTCATTTTTGATAGGTCACTACCTCCGATCCTGGCATACTGGAATCACTGTGCTCCGTGCAACATTCTTTATAGTCCTTGACTCCTTGTTGATGAACAGTCGTTATGTCCGAGCTTCACAATTCGATGTGCAGCGAAACCTGTCTAAGGCGACCGCTCAAGGGACCTTCAAAACGTGGTCTCTGTAACCAGGCTGTCTCCTTGCCCAGGGTCTACTTGACTTGAAAAAGCATCCCTTGGCCAATTGGTCCAAGTTACAGTGGTCTTCTGAGACAGGTGGTCGCCTTGACAGGTTTTACGCATCAGCATTTGATTAAACAAGTATGGCTATCTGCCCCCATGCAGGTGTACCCGACGGATACAAACTTCATCATGATACAGGTAGCTGCCGCAGAGGCACGCGGCGTTTACAATAGGCTCGCCTCGGAGCGCGGCGTGGTGATCCGCTACCGCGGCGACCAGACTCACTGCACCGGCTGCATGCGAATCACAGTCAGCAAAGCGGACGAGAATCGCCGCGCTCTCGACGCACTGGCTGCCGAGCTAAAACTCCTGGCAAGTGATGAGCCGGAAGCCAAGCGTGCAAACTGACGTCCGCGCGGTGTTCAACTTGCGTGCTCTTATTTTATTTCCTGCTTTGCCCGTATCCCACTATGCCTCCAGCCGAGTCTCATGCGAACCGTGAATTTGTTTTGCCCGTATCTTTTCCAAGTTCACCTTAACTCTGTGTGCTTGGTGTTCAGCGAAACGCATACCCTCTACGCCCCTTGCTAGTGAGCACTTTTATCCTGTTATCCATCGGGTATATCAGAAATATTTTCTTATTTTACTCTCTTCTAGAAATCCAGACGTATTTTGAACTATTTTCTGCTCCTTGCCTCCTATTTATTTTCTACCTTTTTGCGTGTAATCTTATTACTTTTGCAAACCGTGTTTGCCTTTTCCCTTTTATTTAACCAGCCCTGCTGCACCTCATGTCTTCTTCTTCTTTCGTGATGAGTTGCCAGTCAAGCCCGGAGCTTGGCCCTCATCATTGTCAGATTTTTAGACAGTCTCCAACTCCCTGTCGATTTTAGTGGCCGCTCGATGCAGACGACTAGCTCTCCTCCAGTCGTGAATTTTCTCCACTTTCTTTCTGATGCATAATGTTTTGTGCACACGGACATACACACACACACACACACACACACACACACACACACACACACACACACACACACACACACACACACACACACACACACACACACACACACACACACACACATACACACAAACAGTTGCACAGTTACTAGGATTCCATTAATTTTGATAGGTTTCACTAGCTTTTTTTCTAGACTTCTAGATAGTTTAGCACATCTACATGTAGCAGTCTGTGAGCAGCGTGCGTACATGACGAATTGACGATTATGATTGAAGTCTCCTGCACCAGTGCCTCTGTGCATACCGGTATCCTAAAGTAGGGAAATGGTGATCAACGCCAGGATGGGGGGGGGGGGGGGGGGTGGCCAGAAACTAGTGGTGTCGTTACTAGTACTTGTTTAGTAGTGGCTGAGTTCCAGGGTGTGTCTGGTGTCACAGCTATGGTCCACTTGAACATTACCGTGTGTTGTACAGAGGACTGAAGGTGTGTGCTCATCTCCTCCCATGCATGCAATCCGGAGTGCTAATCCTGGATAATAACTTGCCCCAGCTTCGTTCCTCATTTCCTTCACGCTGTGTAACTATAATCTCGGTAACTATTGAAGTATACTACAATGCCGTCTCATTCTCTAGTATTAAACTGTTACTTACGCAGACATGACTGTGTATACTATCAAGAGTAGTCAATAACTGTACATGTGCAACCTCTACTAGTAGTAGTACTACTACTAGGCTCTTGTGCAGCTGTCAGTGTGCCTGGTGCAGCATGCACTAACAGTGTAACCATGGTAACTGTGAGAAATACATGACACCAAGATCAAGAGTACATGAAAATTAATTTCATGTACTCTTGATGACACGCAAATACATTGTATTGTATTCTGTTACCATGGTTACTGCTATGGCCGAGACTCAAGAATCCATAACTAATTAGTTAACTGGCATAAGCATACGCCAAGCATAACCCCCAACCGGCCCACGGACTCTGCTCAACAGTATGCCTCAACAGTCAACTGGTTACTTGCTCAAGAAGAGTCTACATCGTGGCCTGGATCATCCATGGATCGAATATGCTGGAGTTATACCAAAAAATACATGACTTTTGTACTAAAATCTAGTCGAGGCGGTTGCCAAGACGGTACAAAAATGCTTAGCAACGTCTACAATGTAGCAACTGACCGAGTGTAGCTGGTGTAGCGTAGCATCACCATTCATTTGGTGAAAACATGACACGACTTATTTACATACGCCAGTGTCAGTGAGACGTACACAGTCACAGGCAGTGTAGCCCATGATAGTCGGGGTGGGCCGGCCGGTCGACGTCGGTGACCGTCGACTCAAACGAAACTGTTCGAATAAATTGGGTCGAAACAATTATGTGCTGGCTCTCAACAGTTGACAAGACCAGCGTCCAGTGTAGTGCGGACACAGGCAGTTGCACTATCGGTAGTGGTAAAGCTCTTTGTCGTGGCGGGTGATAGCGATTGCATCGTTCCGCCAAGAACAGTTGTGCTGTTCTTATTTTTCCAATCCGACTTGGAGTAACGATAGAGCAGGTCAGCAGGATTGCACGGCTACCTGACTGCTGGGCATCGCGTTATGAGACAATAGTATTATAACAATTGCTATCACATTCAGAGAAAGAGAGAGAGTGAGCGTGAGAGGGAGATCGCTAGTAGTACTTTCTGACCAGCCATGGCTGCAGACCAGACGATATTCCGATCGTCCCTGCTGGGACCGATACGAGAGCCAGCTGTCACAGTTGCGATCGACACCAGTGCGTCCATGTACGCGCACCTGTCCCTTATTGAACACGGCATCGGACTGTGGCTCCAGGCCTGCTCCAAGACCCCGTTCAGTCCGCCACGCATCAATCTGGCGGCGCTGGGCGCACAGCCATGGCGATGGCGAGAGAGTGTGGCGCTGATGACGCCGAACAACCTGGGCGCGGCGCTGGACTGGCTGAGTAGGCTGCAGTGCGGTGGAGGAGAGTGCGATCTGACGGAGGGCATGAGACTGGTGCTGTCGGACATAACCAGTCATGCGGTGTACTTCATTACAGATGGCTTTACCAGCACGAATGGTCGCAGCATACACGACACCATCGCACAGCTGGTAAAGTTCAACCAATCGTCCCAGTCTATCCACGTTATCATTATCGGCACGGAACAGGACCTTCTTGGCGACAACGACTCCTCACCCAATCAAATATGGCGTCAACAAAACATTGACACGGAGCCAGTGGACCTGACCGGCTTCTCAGGCCCGGATAGCAAGAACGTTCTACTGTCCCTGGCTCGGCAGACCCTGGGATCAGTTCGTCATGTTGTCGTGCCACCGCAAACAGCCAGGGGACAAGTTCAAGTTCCCCATTCCACCATCGTCAACGACTTCAACCCGAATAGTGCTGCGTCGGCGACAGGGAAATCCCGCAGCACCCCTCTGGGCCATGCCGATCCGGATTTTAACAGTTCCGTCGTGACCTGGGGACGCCCCCTGACTCCGGACACAGCCCGGCGCACGATGTCACCGCCGCTGGGCGTGGGTAACACTGCTACAAACAGTCTGGGTATGAGTACAAACGCCGCGCCCAGCTCCAGGTTGGTGCTAAATCCGGGTGCCAGTCTTGAGCCAGTGGAGAGTCTTCTGGGTCGCTTTGTGATGGCCGACTACATGAAGGGCATGCAGGTGTTGGCAATGGTCTATGGTGAGGGTGTGTACCGACCAGCTACTATCACCGAGCAGGTATGAGCGGATCCATGATGATGGGTGGCACACTCACTGTGTAACGTTATAGGATTAGGCTATCCATATCTATGCTGCTGATACTTGGTGCTAATCAGTAAAACCTGCCAAGGCGACCACTCGGATAAGGCGACCACCTGTCGCAGAAGACCACCACAACCGAACACAAACGGATGCTATGTCCAGTCAAATGACCCTGGATAAGCAGACCACCTGCTATCAGAGACCATGTTGTGATGATCCCGTGAGCGGTCGTCTTAGACAGGTTTCACTGAACTTACTAGTACATTGTTACTATACAGTAACACTGTGTATAGGCTATACAGTAACACTGTGTATAGGCTATACAGTAACACTGTGTATAGGCTATCCATCTGCATTTGTTAACTGGTTTGAGGTTTGAGGGAAAGAGACCATCTGTATTTGTATTTTTGGATTTATGGATTCTCCACTGGCCTTTAATAGCCTAAATCGAAGGAGTCTCCGTCTCTCTGTATGCCGCTGCTAGTACAGTAAACCTGTCAAGGCGACCACTCTGATAAGGCGACCACCTGTTCTAGGGGACCACTTCACGCAAGGACCATCGGATGTTACTTCCAGTGAAATGATCTAGCCTGGATATGGAGACAATCTGTACACAGTCACCACATTTTCAGGTCTCTGGAGTGGTTGCCATAGTGACAGGTGTTCCTGTACATTGTTACTACAGGGTGCACAGAGTCGGCAGTGCAGCCAGTGTTAGGCACGCTGCCGGGTCGCTTGTGAGTCGATTTAAGATTTTATTTCGTGAATGCGTAGTGGTCGCGAAAATAACAAAATTAGATCCCTAGCTTTACTGTATTGCCTGGGTCTGCATTGTCGGTTATCATGTCCATGCAGGTTGATGCCGAGGAATTTCTCGTTGAATTCCACGAAAGTGAGGAGCTAGTGGACGGTCACCGGCCGTACCGACGACAGCAGAAGACCCAGCTGACAGACCTGCTGGCCTTCATCGACGCTCAGCAGCGGGCGTTCGACGTCACCGACCGGGTGCTAGCCCTGCGACGCGACGAGCACGGCAACGAGCTCTACATACCAGCGACGGTGATGAAGATGTCGGAAATGACCATAGACGGCGTGCACGAGATCAAGGTGCTGGTCGCGTTCTACGACGGGCAGCTGGAAGGACTGCTTCACCATCAGGTGCTTAAGATATCGGCATCGCGCTATCTCAAGGCCGTGCAAGCCATTTCGGCCGAGTCCAATGCCGAGTGGACATCCACCACGTACTCGCCGTTGTTCCTAGGGCCCACTATCCACAGTCCCAGGGCGTACAGCACTGGAACGTATGAACGGACACACGGCAGTGCATTGAACTCACCAACGAGGACATTACCTAGTGGTGGCCATGTCGGTGTCCACGGTGCTAGCCGTACCGCTGCTAAGACGGTAGTGATGAAGGACAGTGACCATGACGATGACGGTGCTGATGATGCTGGTGGCGGTGTTCATCGCGGCAAGGCTATTGATGATGAGGATGCATTTCCCAAGCCGACCAAGAGGGACATGTACGCGTCTTCGGCAGAGAAAACGCTGGATGTGTTTTCCGACACTTCTTCGCCCCGGCAGCATTCCTACGAAGCAGAGCCCAAACCCATGCAGCAGTCGAGTGGCAATGGCGACGCTTTGCTAAACTTGTCCAGATCTGCGGCCGCTCGCGCGGCACAGGACGATACTGCACGTTTGTGGCCAAGGGAGCGCCTTGCGTCCGGCAGAGTGCTGAACGTGACGCCAGACTTCCAGGCCGGTTTCGAGGCTGGATTCGCCACTGCACAGAGAACCAGCATGGACATCGAGGAGGGGAAAGCGTTCAAGCAGCCAAGCCCCAGCGACATGCTGAGATCATACCGCAAGCAACTGGAGTCCAGGAGGAGCATATCCGAGTTTCAGCAGAGCAGTCGATGGCAACGCACCGATCTGAAGGAACGCTCGCAGCGCGGCGGACGCGACACTCTACTGAGTGTGCCCCGTGAGGCGATTGTTCAGCTCTCGTTGAATGATCGGCCGTGGACGGCGCCCAGCCACGGTGAGCGACCCCTGGCAAGTCACATTCCTAGGCGACAGGTAAGCATGCAGCCAGGGTACATGTACAAGACTGCATTATCATTATCATCATGTTGTATGTTATGGTGGCGTAAGTTATAATTATCCATATAAAAATCGCTCTGTGAGCGGTTCTGAGAAACCTTTACTGGTACTGCCCCGTCGTAAAAGTAAGAAATTAGAACTGGCCCATTGTCCCCCCAAATGCGAACTGATCCACCTAAATCGCGAATGACGGGACCCGAACGCACCAGTAGCACGAGGTCGGGAGGGCACAGGATCACGACAATTATCATAGGGTAACACCAGTAGTAGTAGTAGAATTTATTATTTTGATAGGGAAGCCTACCGCTAGTACAGTACATGGCCTATGGTCCGGACCAACGTCCCCATCTGCATCCACATTTAGGAACCTCGTGCTACTGGTGCGTTCGGGTCCCGTCATTCGCGATTTAGGTGGATCAGTTCGCATTTGGGGGGACAATGGGCCAGTTCTAATTTCTTACTTTTACGACGGGGCAGTACCAGTAAAGGTTTCTCAGAACCGCTCACAGAGCGATTTTTATATGGATAATTTCAGCTCTTTTTCCGTTCCCTCCCCACCCCAACCCCAAAGGTAAACATGATGACCACGCGCGCGATGTACTGTATGTAGCCATGCGACTGCAATAACACACTGATACATACCAGCCCTCCCCGCCTCGCTACCCCGCACACAGATACACAAACATGTGTATGCACACGGTACGGCACACACACGTGGCCACGCACACATACGCACATGCACACGACACAAACAGGAAATTCTTCATGTATAATGCCATGCAAAGCAATGGCCACCGTACTTGAGGAAGTCAGTTGTGAAACAAAAATAATTCAACTACAGCGTGTAGACAAGCTGACGGCCAAAGCACAACATAGCAAACATGACATTTGCCCAAGGATTGCAGTTTGCAGACCATGCCATGGAAGCAGCGAATACAGAATGTAATAATTATCATACAAAGTGACAAGCAAGGACGTGGCCATCATACACCAGAAACTTGCAGAACGTCACATATCCAACAGATAGAGAAGTGAACAGCAATCTGATACAGCTCACACAGGACAAAGCGGACCTGATACTCGTCCCAGGATCGCAAGTGGCAAACCCTTTTCAATGCATAACATGCAGGTGTACGTTAGACGCATGAACATCTGACCGTGTCGCCAGCATACAATGTCATCACATGTTTACCCCACAAGTTACACACATGCACAGTAGAAGCACAATGAAAGCAATGGAAAAGTACGATGTGGTTGCTGAAGCATCTTCACACTTCAAATTCAGACTTCAATGTGGTCGTCACGGGATGATATACCTGCAAGATACAAGTGATGAAGAAAGAAAGCAGAAGGTCGTGAGGTAGGCTATGAGACACCACAAACGGTTCACCTACATGTCTGTTCAGGGCTAGTGCACTCACACGGAGAATTGTCATAATCGAGCATTTCCCAAACTGAGAAGTGCAATGAAATCCACTTGCATGCACAGGAGCAATTTTGCAATAATTATTATGATGCGCAATTCGACACGATCTGCGATGCTGCGTGCGATGTGCCCTGCTGTCATGATAGTGACAGTCACCGCGGTATGTTTTGTCAACGTCGCCCGTGCACTCTTCTGTCAAGTCCAAAGTGCTCACATACTTGGCAATGTTTTTGCAGTGATTAACTTATATCCTAGTTATGTCACGGGTAACTTTAATGAAGTACCCGCAGGCCGTGTCGATCTGCACATCGTCCACTCTCTCATGTACTTGGCCTGCTTTGTCTGTGTATCCATTTCATGTGCGATCCACAAAATCGACTAGACAGTGGGTGCAATACGCTCTCTACCTGAAGACGTTCTTCTGGCGACATCTCGCCATGTACTTGGCCTGGCTTTGTCTGTGTATCCATTTCATGTATAATCAACAAAATCTCAATGCACTACAGAGACTAGACAGTGGGTGCAATACGCTCTCTATCTGAAGACGTGAACCATTAATTTTTTTGGAAAAGTTATACGTACACCTGAAACGTAATGAAGTACGAGGTGAATTGCTATTTCTGGACATTGGACATTTCTGGACATTTCGAGTAAAATAATTTTTCGTCGCGTGTAGAGTCAAGTCAGTCAGGTTGATGAAGTTTTTTCTTGTTGTAGTTGACAGCTGGGCTGTTGTAGTTTCTCCTCGTGTCGGTGCCTTGTTGATAGCCTTTTCGTGGGAGGCATTTCAACGAGTTTTGTGGTACTATGTCGCCTGAGAATTTTGAATTTTGAGTAAAATAAGAAGTAATGGACGAATCGTTGGCTTCCCCATGTGCACTCCACTTCAGACGCTGTATAGTCTTGGACCTGTGGGCTGGAAGTGTGAAGAGGCCAACTGCAGTCCACCAATAGAAAAAATAACAAAAATGGTGCAGTATAGGATGCCTATTGACGCTATTTTACTTTCATGTCCAGAATTCCATACACTGAAATTTAGGCCAAAAAATTGGCCTGTCGAAAACATCCTGCTATAAAGTCTCTGGGATCACAGCATGAGCAATTGTCACATATTTGGAAAGATGAAGGATTAGGCCATACAATAGATACAAATAGATATGAAAAATGTAAAACACACAGCCAGTGGGCCTCTATTTTATTTTCATGTCCAGAAATTGCTATTCACCTCGTACAGGAATAGAGAGAGTGACTACAATACGCTCTCGACCTGATATAGTGATAACGTGAGTACAAGACACTCTCCACCTGATAACGTGTTAGAAGGTAACATGTCTACAGTCCCACCGTACCCTTCCGACACGACTGTGGACCATTGAATTTTTTTGAGAAGTTATACGTACACCTTAAACGTAATGAAGTACAGGAATAGAGAGAGTGACTACAATACGCTCTCGACCTGATAACGTGAGTACAAGACACTCTCCACCTGATAACGTGTTAGTAGAAGGTAACAGGTCTACAGTCCCACCGTACCCTTCATCATTCCTCATTCACCATCGCGCGATACCCTGGCACACACTGGCAACATATCAATGGGGTGCCTTACCGTCGTCTAGAGGAGACGTCTTCGCAGCAATATTTTCCCTCCTGCGCATTCAGTCGCCGACGCGACAGCGTTTACTGGGCCGTTCCAGTTGCGGAAGACATTCGATTCATCGGGCCAATTCAGCAACAGGGCTGTGGACACACAGGGGGCAGAGGGGAGACATTGTTAGTGGACAAGAAATATGCAGTGGCAAGTGGCGAGTGCCGCATGGATGTCAAGTTGTCATGCACAATTCAGCTATTACTTACGGTCCAGCTAGTCCTGCCATTGCTCGCTCGTCCTGGTTCCTCCTCGTTCGTCTTCCTGCACGTCTGAACTTCTCCTTCCCCACCGTTGGCTTTGCGGTACGGGGTGCCGGAAGGAATTCCCACCATGTATCCATGTACATGAAGTCCCACCATGTGTCCATGTACATGTCCACGTCAGCAGTTTGTATAGTACCGGAAGGAGTTCCCACGATGTCTCCAAAGGCCTAGAGCGGACGTCTTTGCAGCAATTCTTTTCGCCCTGCGCATTCAGTCCGCCGACGATGTCTCCAAAGGCCTAGAGGGGACGTCTTTGCAGCAATTCTTTTCACCCTGCACATTCACTCCGCCGACACGACAGCGTTTACGGGGCCGTTCCAGGTGCAAAAGGTCCACGTCAGCAGTTCTCAACTATTTCGCGTACGGGATAGTCGCCGCGACAGCGTTTAAGGGGTCGTTCCAGGTGCAAAAGGTATCCATCAATGGCACTTTGCAGTATGGGGTACGGAAAAGGGGCCTCCTCGTTCGACTTCGTCGACTTCTGCAGTTCTCCTTCCCGTCAGGGGTACCGAAAGGGGCCTCCTCGCAGTTGTCCTTGCCGTCAGGTCAACGTCATGCAGTTCTCAACTATTTCGCGTACGGGATAGTCGTCTTTGTCGTACGCGACATCGGCGTTTACCGAGTGGCATTGGCACAAAGCAGACCGTTGACGGGGTCACGTGTCAAAAAAGTATCAACAACGTGTCGACTACGTGTCGACCACGTGTATAGCGGTACACTCAGCGGTACACTAATTCTCGTGCCATTCTCGTGTCACAAAACTGGAACATCGAGTACCAGTATGGAAAGGCTTCAGACAGGAAGCCTTTCCAACTAGGGCCGAAACGATTATACCGATTACTCGTATACCACTCGTTTATGGATGAAATCGATAATCGTTATGATCGATAACGATTATGACAGTACATGCGAGAGCTGTCATGTACATGCAGATGATGCATCATTGCATGACATCATGCATGACATCATGCATGGTATCATGCACGCGCGTCGTGCACACAAGTACATGTACGTCGAATTACATGCAGCCGTAGGTCCATACAACCTCCAGTTGTCAACGCTGACGATGAAGATGATGATGGAGATGAGTATTACCTCTACCTGAAGTTGTTGTGGATGACTCAGAATCTGACACCAACAACGAACAGATGTCTGACGTTGATGTCTAATGGCAGAGGAACACTGCTCACATCACGTTGCAAATTTCATTTTGGTCTTTTTGGGGCCTGTGGGGATCTTTCACCCTGTGCACACATGTATTATAGTTGAAGAAAGTTAATTGTTTTTGCCGTATGCTGATTTCCAACACGACATATAAAACATGTTCGAAAAATCGGTAAACCAATAAATCGATCGTTAGTGTTATTGGTTAATTGTTAAGGCAAAATGGGCAATCGTTTCGGCCCTAGTTATAACTGACTTATATAGCATTAGTACATGTACGGTGAAACCTGTCTAAGACGACCACTGCTCAAGGAACCTTCAAAACGTGGTCCCTGTTACCAGGTGGTCTTATCCAGGGTCATTTGGCTGGGAATAGCATACCTAAGTCCTTGGTCTGGGAATAGCATACCTAAGTCCTTGGTCTGGTTGCAGTGGACTTCTGGGACACACGGTGGCCTTATCTGAGCGGTCGCCTTGACCAGTTTTACTATGGTTGTATAGCTCTGATATCCATGTATCAATAGTACATGCCTTCCTCAGTCTATCGGGCGGTAGTAGCGGGATTTCAGAAGGTACGGGGGTAACATGGGACACTTCACAGAAAATGAACATTAAAGATGTACCGCATGGCTTTCACCCTAAAGCTGCATGTACCAGCGAGCGCGAATTGGGTGTGGGGGGGGGGGGAGTAGCAAATACCTCTGTCTCCGCCGCATTGTCTGGTCTTCTGGTAGCCAGACCATCTCACGTCGAATCCAGTATAAGGGACCAGTACAGTGGATCTCCCGATATTCCTTTTTTGTTTGTGTGGGTGCAGAGTAAGTCGGGACCTTTGAGCTATAGCTATTGTCATGATTGATTGCTTGTCCCCTCCATTTCTACTTTTTTCTAGCACTGCATACATACCAAGGCAGGCAGGCATAATGGGATGGTCTAAGACCATGATTGAGAAGCATAGGGTACCAGGTTCAAGTCCTGCTTGGAAGCGGACGGATTTTTTCCAGCCGTGCTGCAATGCATAGTTAATTGGGAACTCGTGGCCTGGACGAGGGAAGCATGGATGCAGCGAATTTGATTTTCTGTCTTTGACCACTTTGGTGGTAGGTCTGGTCTACTCACCTCCCACCGCTTTAGGAGCTGCATCTGCGCCTTGATCTTTGAGGGTGGTGGCGTCCCAGCGGATACGGAAAATTTGGTCTCCAGCCGAGTCTCATGCTAATCGTTTAACTTTCTTTCTTTCTTTCATGCATACCCCCATCCATGTTCCCTGGAGGGCCTTAGTGGCAATTTCGACATAAATTTCTCTGGTTATTTGTAAGTGTATTGGGTCGGCCGAGAGTGCATTATGGAGTCGCGGGGTGACTAATATCTACGTATAAATGGACGAGTTCTTTGAAAGTTTTTTTCACTTCTTTAAAGTTTATGGTAGCTGCTTGTCAATACTTCAGCACGCATCAATCATTCACCCAGCCCCTTTAACTGCACATGGGTCATGTCAATGTGTGTTCTGACAGGGCCTGCACGGCGAGTCAGTTGCGGACACGTGGCACGCGGACTGGAACCGCATTGATGGAATGCGCGGCCGAGAGGAGCGCCGTCAGCAGATTGTGGCTGGAAAGAAGGAGAGAGAGGAGCGCATCAAGCAGGCACACATGGCCGCTATGAAGTAAGTAATTCAAATCCACTCGGTTGTAATTGCGTTTTCTGCCAAACTAATACTTTCATCTTCACGGATGCATGTGTTTTCACTAATACAAGACAAGTGTTATCTCGTTTCATATGTAGAGGCACAACTTCAGCCAGCCAAATTCTGTAATTTTGAAATAGCTGGGAGGTGGATTTCACCTGTCGACTCACCAGGATCTGCCGCGCCTAATGGATGCTATAGCAGTCACAAACCTCTGCAGCATACCCAATCCCCAAGAGAGGGAGGGAGAGGGAGAGAGAGAGAGAGATGTGAAGGCTGTTTCAATGGCGATATGTGCTTCACTCCAGCACCATTCCGGTGGCCAATCTTAACAATCCTAGTCCTTCTTTCCAGATTGTACCTGTGAGTGAAAGGAATTTTGGTGTACATGACGGGTTGGTTAAGTCAGGAAAATCCACTAAACGGATACAGTACTAGTATTCTGAGTCAATATAATTATTATGATTACATCTTTTCGTCGGATCCACTGGACTTTCGCTTGTACTGAAGCTCTGCACGTCGTGCACTCGGACCAGTAGTCAAGGGTGTTCTGTGTAACCTCCCTTTTTGCCAGTTTCAATTGATCATACCGAACTTGAGCGGCTGCCAGTGACTGCTGCCTGTCCCCGACCTCATTGAGCTCGATTTGTGTATTCAAGGCCTCCTGCTACCTTCGTGTGTGCTGCAGACGGTAATCTTGAATCAGGCGAGTGCCGCTCAGTCAGCAGGAAGCGCGAGCTCCAGCTAGCGTTAGGAGCAGTCACCTTGTTCTGCTTCAATCTCATCTGCCTATGATATGGGCGGACGTTGAACCCCACCGGAATTGATCAATGTACTGCACATACACTGTAGCACTCGTTGGAACTGGCTTCGGGATGCTGCTTTCTGCGTAACTTCAAACGGTTACTAGTTTTTAGGCAGGATAGCCGTTGGCCTTAGGAGTCTTCACCGTCCATGACCATAACGACGATGTGTTGAACTCTTTGAAGAGGTTCTCGACCTGGCAACAAGGCACTTCATACAGTTCACGTTGGCCTTTGCACTGAGTGGAGCCACTCGGTCAACTATTTCGTTGGTATTGTTGAAACAAAGTTACAACAGGACTCTTCTCGACAGATTAATCAAGATAGTCAGCTGGCGACAGAGCAATCTTCTTTTGCGGCAACGTTATTCATAGTGACGTGACGTGACCTGATGGGTCGTCAGAAAGCACTTGCGCAGAAGATTAACCTCCAAACAGCCATCACGAAGACCTACGTTCATTGCAGGCAGGCACTGTGCGGGGCTGGTCTGAGGCCACACATGCCTCAGTGACACCCAGAGGGTACTGTATTCATGTCCTGCTTAGAAGGGGGACTTTCCCTTTTGTGCTGTGACTCACACGTTACAGTTGTCTGGGAAGTACATGTACTGGAGTGCTCGCTGTGCTTCTCACAGTTAGAGCACTCTGGCTTTAGTGCGCTGAGCCGGCATAAATTGCTTGGCTTTTCATTGGACTTAATATTGTGATCGGTTCGGCCAGTCACTCTGAGATCTGCTGATGAGACACAAGAACTTGAAGAACGTCAAAGCGGCCAGCTGTCCTGTGTTTCCATGTCGGGCCAAGTCATGATGCGCGTGGTAAATGCAGTTGGATCCCGGGACGCATACCCTGATGCCGCCAATCCTTCTTCTCAGCATCTTGTAGTCGTCCACTTACTGAGGTACGGTGAGCCCATAAGTGGTATCTTTTCCTAGTCCGCCACGATTTTGGGGATCTCAGGGGTGTCGGCCGCTGGGCAGTTCAATAGCCAATTGGAATTGGGTCATCTTTCGAAGATTCCTTTTGAAACTCTCTCCCTTCTCCCGGGGAGACCCACGTCACCAGTTTCTGACAGTGAGAAGTACTTTGTATCTGTGTTTATGAAATAGAGTGAGCAGAATGGCATTGCTAAAAGACACGCATTGATCACAAATTTGGAAGATTCAATCAGGTTATTGATGGGCTCCCCTTTCGCATTCCACGTAGCCTGTGCATTGGCACGGGACTAGTCATGTCAACAACAGGACATTTAGCAGCAGAACATACTGGTAAATGCAGTTCCACTTGATGGAGAGCAATGACATATTAATTATCACTCAGGTTGATGTTGGCCGTTTGAGGCTAGGGTTTCTTGTCATGACAAGGCATGAAGTAGAGGCCGAACCATAGCGGTGTTCAATTTGCCATACACCAGGTCAAAGGTCAAACCTCACGGTACTGGCTGTAGTGTCATGCAGTATCACTGCAAGCAAGAGTACATAACCCCAAGAGTGTGCAACTGCCTGCACAACCTCTATGCTGTGCTGCGGCGGCAGAACTTCACATCACGTGACATGGTTCAAAAGGTTACACTGGCAAACAGTGCAAAGTGACCACAAGACAGTTGTACCCGAAGCTGGGTTGCGTACAATCCTGTATCAATCATGCACAGAGTGCAACTAATGTGTACGGGTTCATCACGTGATGTGAAGTTCTGCCGTCGCAGATCCCATAGCTGGAGTTGCACACTCTTGGGGGTTATGTACTCTTGCTGCAAGTGAGCACACACTTCCTACTGAGAAAATCATGGCATAGATAGTTGGCCACTATTATCAAGAGGAGTGGTTTTGCCAGTCCATTTGGCAGTTTCGTTTTCGTTCCATATCGACCGTGCGAGCTTAAACACAGGGCCGACGCCACTGGTGCGGCCGGTACGGCCATGGCCATACCAATTTCCCAAAATGTCGGTCCACGTGGAACGGCCAAAATCGGGGAGAAAAAGTTTCGATGTATGATTTTGTACAGGGAGTCGTAAAAACGGACTACCCTGTCATCAGGAACATTCTACGCACAGTGAACCATGGTGAACTATCATAGATGCAGACTTGCAAGTTAGTTGTACCCCAGGGGCTAGGAGATGTACAGAAATGCGCCCAGAGTGCAGGATTTGCCTTCTAAATTCCTAAAATGTTATGGGGGGGGGGGGTGCCCATAACATTTTGCCCCTTCAACAGGGCACTCCGCCGCACCGCTCCATGGGAGCTGCCTCCGCCCTGAAACACCAGATAGCATGGGCAACAACGTCCATGTGGATGATTTCTTCCATTTCCTTACGTTCAATGTTGCCTGCTTGCTTCTTTGTTTCCAGGGAAAGAGAAGCTGTAAGGCGTGACACGTTAGTGACTGTGGAGGCGGAAAAGACTGAGAAGCGTCACAGGCGCAGCAAGAGTCCTGCAAAGCCGGTAATGGACACAAGCACGCCCATTGTTGTGGCATGGGGCGATGGTCCTATTGTTTATGTATTCTTTATCTCGAGTTTCTCCCATGTGTCTATATGTGTTTGCGTGTCGTGTGGTGCGTGTGTGTGTGTGTGTGTGTGTGTGTGTGTGTGTGTGTGTGTGTGTGTGTGTGTGTGTGTGTGTGTGTGTCGTGTGGTGTGTGTGTGTGTGTGTGTGTGTGTGTGTGGTGTGTGTGTGTGTGTGTGTGTGTGTGTCGTGTGGTGTGTGTGTGTCGTGTGGTGTGTGTGTGTGTTTGCATGTACATGACATCATGCATGTGTGTGTTGGAGGGGGGGGGGGGGGGAGGGAGGGTGTTGCGTGGGCGTCTGCTTGCATGCCCGTGTGCGTGTATGTGTTGTAGAGACCTCTTCGAGCAGCCCCTGGCTTCTTATCATGTACTTTGCTTTTGCACAGCCAAATCGCCGGACAGACGAAGAGCACGATGCCAAAGAAGAGCAGAAACTCAAAGCAATGCGATCTCGTCGTGATCAAAGAGAGAAACAACTCGCAGCAGCGGAACGCACGCCCCAGGCAAGAGACTCGCTGCGCCAGGTACCCTCACACGCTGCTGCTGTAATGTAGGAACACGCACCCGTGCCGTGCTGGCCCAACGATGAACAGAAGGTAGGGAGTTAAAGCATCTAGCTCCCTTCCGATGTTTGTTTTATGAACTCTTTTTGAAACCTGTTGTTCATGCAGCAGGTTTCCCATACATATAGCTCACAATTATGCTATTCAAGCCTGATTGCCCGGTGCCAGGACGTACAGTCAACCTTACTGCAAAATAACAACCCTCGATCGGCCATGAGAAAAGTGTTGTTCAGTATTTGCGAGGTTAAAGTATGGAGTGAAGTGGTTGCTTGGTCTGAAGATAGTGTCGTTATTCGCGAGGTTGACTGTATTTCGAGTATTTAAAGTAGATATAGAGCTTTCACTGGTAACCATGGTAACCGGTTATGCACAAGAGAAGGCAACCACTGTAGTCTGTGATGAATGACTACTGTCAGACTACTGTCAGATTCGTGATGGTAACTGGGATGAGTGAATTGAAATACGCTTTTGGGGTTTCTAGACCGCCGACCGTGACTTTTTCCTGAACCGTATGAACGTGTACGGACATGTACATTGTGCCAGACGTTTTTGTTGTCAGCGGCTTTGCCCACGAGTCTGCCGATTTTTTGTCTATCTCTTAAAATTCCGGGCAGTGTGGTTAAGAAGGGAGTTTCCCTACATAAGGCTGAAACACCAGTATGGCTAGCATAGCGTGTGTGTTTGCGTTAGGAATTACGCGAAGTGAAAGTAGGGTGCGGTTTGACATTTTGTGCTCCGAGGATTAGCCTCGAGGTGCGTCTCTCTACAGAACTACCCCTCCCCATTATTGCTTAGAACTAATAGAAGAGACCAACAGTACCAATGGCGACAAACGAAGGCATGGACCTGGCTTTGGTTGGCTATGAGGAGCTCATCAAGATCGGCGAGCAAATGTCTGTGGATAAAGCCTCGAGCCTCTCCCGGCCGGATCTGGTGAGCGAGCTGAGGAAGCGTGGAGTGGGCGTGTTGGCGCAGAGTTCGCTACCCACATCGGAGCTCCAACTTGCAATTGTAAGCCTTACTGACTCAATTAGCTGCATGTCACAGGAAATTGTCTCCTTGAGACAGGATAGAGCCGACAAAATCCTGAGTCTTGAATTAGAAGTGCAACAACTCAGGCGGGAAGTTCAGGGGCTCCAACAACCGGAAATCTGTGTACACCCTCTCGTACAGGAAGCACAGCAAAATTTGGCAATGTCCGGCGGGAAGTTGTACAGCACCGCCGTAGGAGACTTGAATCCCCCACGTGCACGCACCCATATTTCCTCTGGTCCTATGCAGTACACACAGGGTAGTACGGGTTCTAGTACTCACCATATGACCCCCGCTCACACCACCTCCAGCCATTTGTCGCAGCCTGTTTTGTCAATGCATGGCACCAGACCACACCCACCTGAGCAATCCAACCCAGGGTCGAGTGCTGCAGGTGCAGAGTGGTCGGAAGTCACACGCCGTAGGTTTACGTCACGCTACGTGAAACCACAGCCCAGGGCAGCCGACCCGCGTGTGCTAACAGGGCCTGAACGTACAAAGAAGCTTGTTCTGTACGTTGGAAATGTCAGTCCGGGTTGCAGGGCAGAGTCAATAACAGCGTGGTGCAAGGCCCGCCAAGTTGACGTACTGAACTGTTCGATTTCAGAAAACACGTACCTGGGTACTAGCCATGCTCGCGTAACCGTGGCAGCATCGGACGAGGACAAAGTTCTCGACTCCAAATTCTGGCCGGCCACCATCCAGCATACAGTGCGAAAGTGGCGCTTTGCTGATGCCCAAGGTAACAAGTCGTCTTCTACTTCGCGGCGAGGCAGTGATGATCAATCCTGAACTGTCATGCTAACAAACCAACATACACAACGATGCAGCAGCAACGACTAAATCCCAACGCCCCTGTATTCACCCCACTATCGAAACTAGCCCGCCCGCTCTACCCCGCTCAGCCCTCCTCTGGCCGACCCGCACACATTGCATGTCCAGCGCTAAATCCATCAGCGTTCCCTTTTTTCCCTAAATCCCAGCGTGATTTAACCCTAGTATCTCTGAATTGTCGCTCTGTTGTCAACAAGTTGTCTGAGCTCTGCGTTATTGCCGAATGTGCTAAGCCTGACATAATCTGCCTAACAGAGACGTGGCTCTGTCCCTCGAACCCGCTCTCACTGTCAGGCTATATCTGCATCCGCAGAGATCGACCTCCGGAAGACAATCGGTCAGCACATTGTAGCCGTGGGTATGGGGGTGTTGCCGTACTTGTCCGTTCGGACTCCTTTCCGTACGTCTCCCCTCGTGCCGACCTTCAACGCCCTGGCTGCGAGTCTGTGTGGCTTGAACTTGGCTCCCCCTCTACTCAATCTCAGAATCCCATCTTACTATGCTGCATGTATCGACCACCCTCACAGAGCACAATGCAATTGTCGTACTTTTGTGACATGTTTGTTGAGGCATTACAGTCAGTCTGTTTAGATTCTTATGATCTGCTAGTGACTGGCGATTTCAACGCCCACAACTCAAGCTGGTGTCCCACCGATTCTACCTCGAAGGCTGGTGATCTCCTTAGCACAGTATTTGCTGCTCTTGGGCTCCACCAGATGGTTGACTTCCCCACTCATTCCTCGCCTAATGGCTCTGTTTCGTGTCTGGACTTGGTGATCACCAACCGACCACGCCTCGTGCGCTCAATTGATCAAGCACCTCCCTTGGGTATGTCTGACCATAAAATTATACAGATTGTTTGTACTTTATGTTACGCCCCTATTTCGAACTACTTCCCCAACTCTGCCACTGGTCCTCCCTCTTCACTGTATCGCTTCAAACAAGTACCTTCGCACCTTTGGCAATTAATCAACGCTGATTTAGCTGGCTACAACTGGTCCTCTCTGAACTCGTACACTGATGTTAATGACGCACTTCATCACTTTGATTGTGAGCTCCAGTCCGCCTTCCGTCGGCACCTCACTTCATTCGGAGCCACCCACACTGTGACATCTCCACGACCCCGCATGCAATCTCCACCATGGGTTACTGCTGAGCTCAGGTCTGCTGTAAAACGCAAGCGTGATCTATATAGTGTGTACAAAAAATATCCGACAGCAGTAAATCATGCAGCTTATAACCGACAAAGGAATGCTGTAAAGCACCTGTCTCGGCAAGCACATCGTCAATATATACGCTCCATCCAAGCATCACTAACGTCACCGAATCGACCTACACTCTTTCAGTTTGTGCGAGCACAGCGGCACACTTCCGGCCGTGTCATGCCCCAAACGATGATAGCATCCGCCGGTACGGTCGCCACGTCCCCCAAGAGCATAGCTGATGTTCTGAACACTCAGTTCACCTCATTTGGGCTACCTGATGATCCTTCGTGGCGCATTCCCCCTTTGTCCCAATCGCCTTTCATATCTGTTCCGTTCCGTACAATCACTGTCACTACGTTTCAAGTTCGGAAATATCTGAAGCGCCTGAAATGTGGAAAGTCTCCCGGCTCAGATGGGATCCCGAATGAAGTGCTGCAGTCTCTTGCACCATCAATAGCCTATCCTCTCGCCATTATTTTTAATATGTCATTTCGAACTGGTACATTCCCACAGGATTGGAAATCCGCCATCGTGACACCGCTTTACAAGAATAAAGGCTCCCGTGCTTGCCCGGCAAACTACCGCCCCATCTCTCTGCTGCGCACAGTTTCCAAACTTTGTGAGCGTATTGTATTCGATTCCCTCTACCTGCACATCGCTCCGGCTCTCTCACCAGCTCAGTCGGGATTCTGCCGTGGTGACTCAACTCAATACCAGGTGACTCGACTTGTCCAAGACATAGCGACAAAGAGGAACTGTGGGGAGCACGTGGGAATGGTGTTTTTCGACTTGGCTAAGGCATTCGACACCGTTTGGCATCGTGGCTTACTTGCCAAGTTGAAGGTCACCTTCCGGGTGGAGGATGCTGCCTTGCGTTGGATATCCTCGTATCTGTCTGCTCGTTCTCAGGCTGTTCGCTTGTTCTATTTCTTGTCTGATCCCCTCCCTGTAACGTCTGGAGTGCCCCAAGGTTCCATTCTGGGTCCTTTGTTATTCTTGCTTTACGTTAATGACCTACCTTCAGTTGTCCCCGATGTTAGTTTGTATGCGGATGACACTGGCCTTATCTGTTCTGATTCCTCCCCTGCACAATTACTCCTTACCATGCAGCATCGCATCAACAGCACTGTCATGTGGATGCAAACGTGGAAACTCCAGCCCAATTTAGACAAGACAGAAGCCATGTATATTTCTTCATCCCCTCCTGATCAACCATTATTCTTCCCTGACTCGACTATGCCTATCCGTGTTGTTACTCAGCACAAACATCTAGGTGTGATGTTTGACTGCAAACTCTCTTGGGCTGCACATGTCAACTGTGTATGCAAGCGAACCAGTTCAGCCTTAGGGGTACTACAATCACATTGCACTCATTTGCCCATCCAGTGTAAACTATTATTTTATCAGTGCTATATTCTCCCTATATTCGACTATTGCGATACCGCTTGGTGTGGCCTTTCTGACACAACTCTGAGCCAATTAGAAGTCCACCATAGATTTATACTTAAAATTCTTTACAACAAGGATCGATGTTTTCCTTCGGATGCCCTTTATCGACTTGCACACACTTCTCCTCTCTCCGTTCGTCATAAGCACCATCTCTGTACACTGGTTCATAAGATATTTCTTCATAAAACCCCTTCACACATGATGAAGTACAATTGGTTTTCGACAAGCTCAACCCGTAATGCGCTCACCCTGCCTCTTGTTAAGTCAGCCCAGTATCTAAAGTCCCCTTTGTTTTCCGGCTACTCTCATTGGTTATCATTACCATACGGTCTGAAAACTTGTTCTTCTATTGGTCAGTTTAAAGATCTACTATCACAACTGAACTAGACGCAATAATTATCATCGAAGAACATTCTCGAATACCTGGGTGATGCACGAATTTTGATAGTGCTCACTTCCGTTAATCGTTTTTCTTTGTAATTTTCCATTCATTTTCTGCTTTAATTCATATTATTTTTGCTTTGTTTTCCTAGCTTACTATTGCCGTGGCTGGCTCAACGCCCTTGTCTCAGGGGATTCTGTCCCTGCACTAGCTATGCTTGTCACATGCTATGAGATTGTGTCTAATAATAATAATAAGGTTTGAGTAATAGTGATGTGTAGTTGTGTACACATGCTTTGGACTCAAATTAGACGTTAGCATCGTATTTTGTAAGATACACTTAATAATTTCCAACCCAAAATGGTCTGAAATCCACCGTGTTGCTTACTCCAGAAGCATGTATTTCAAGAAGTATTTCAGTGTAAATGGAGTACAGACTTAAAATGCGACATGTCTTCAGGATGGTGCCAGTAAGATCATCTGATGCGGGTAATAGTCGCGGCGAAATATGGTTCAAGTTTATGCAGGTTACGCGTAGGATTTGTACTTTGTGGTGCATTCTCCTTTGTTTCTGTATACCGCTCTGCACTTAGGAGCATTGAGCACTGGCTTTCGAGCTGACCCGACTGCTGTCCCTGCTGATTGTTTTAAAAACCGTTTTCAGGGTGCTTTAAAAAGGATCTGAAGTAAATTTTTAAAGTGCAGTGCAACTACTTTCATGAAAGCCACACGTGACTGTATTTAATCGGAAGACTGAAGCACCCAGTTGTCTGCCTCTTTTTCTGCGTATGCGTGTGCATGCCCGCATGAATGTTTGTGTGTGTTTGTGTGTGTGTGTGTGTATGCGTGTGTGTTTTCTTTGTGTCTCAAGCAGACGAGGACGTACAGTAAGAACCACTACTCTGCAGGCTACTCGGCTGCAGCGAGTCACTCTCACAATGCGGGTTACTCGCGCATTGCCAGTGCAGGAGGTTCTAGCAAAGCAAGCCACTCCCGTACCGTGAGCCACTCTCGCAATTCGAATCATTCTGGCAAAGCGAGCCACTCTCGCAATGCTGGTTACTCTCGCCATAGAGACTATGCTCACAGCCAGGGTGGCGATGACGTGTTCACATTCCCTGAGCCTGAGGCAGAGGGAGCAGAGAGTCGCCGTCGTAAGTTTCAGGGCGTCTCGGGTGTCCGCAAACGCATGAGTGTGTCCAGGCAGCAGCGAGATGAGGAAGTGAAGGCCATACTAGCCAAGCATAAGGTCAACATGGGCGATGACTGGTGCAACAAGAAACTGGCTGCGCGCATGTTCTTTGACTGAGCTAGCTTGTCGTGCAGGACTGCCAAGACGTGCTTCACGACGTCAGTGGATCTCAGCATCCATTCATCGTCATGGTGTACCTCATCAGCATGGCCGTGCATGCATGAACCAGCAGTTTATGTGCTGTATCTACAATTCAGAGTTCTTTCGGTTCAGGTCCGGCTGTATGGTGAGCACCTGTGCATAATTTACGAATGTGTGCGCTTGTCAGTGCATGGCACAGACTGATAGCATTGATCTGCAATATGCACATCGCCCTTGCAGTGTCCTTGAGTCAGCTGCACTCCGGCGTACCAAGATCAGAATATCCCCGGCAACTCATCTCCGTCCAGATCCACCTGAACTTCAGAACACTGCATGATTGTCTTCTGTTGTATCAACCCTCTAACCATCCACTTATCGAAACACTGGGCAAGTGATCGCTCTAACTTACCAACATACTGCCTCCTAGGTTCTGTGTTGATTCAGTATGGATAGATTTATCACCATATTGTAGTAGTCTGCTTTCACTACGAGTATGAATGCACCTACATCGTAGTCCTTCACATATACAGCGGTATTCGTCATAACCAGACTTGTACTGGAATATCATCCCATGTCCAGCGTGTGTCGAAGCAATGCTCGTTTTTAACTGTTCCTACAAGTGTGGCTGTTCTGGAAAACTGCCCCCCCCCCCCCCCCCCTTCTCTATGTGTTTGAGTGATGAACACAAAGTTGGTGTCTGCCCGTTTGTAGACATGAATGGGAATGGGCAATGGATGACCTCAATGCTTTACTCCATGTGCATATTGTGTATAGACTACCTATCCGGTCAACAGGACCGGGAGAGCCCAGCTGAGGACCCTTGCTATACGCTCAATCATTAGGATCATTTTGCCGAGTCAGTGCTCAGTCATGTGTCATGTGTGAACACCCACTCCTGGCACGCTGCCGGCCGGCCCTTTGCGCTCTTGTCGCGTGATGACGGACGTAGCGCGTGCGCGCGCACACACACACACACACACACACCAAAACACACACACACCAACACACAGAGATATGAAATGGCATGGAGGACCCTGGCTAGCGCCAGACGCCACTAGTGACGGCTTTCCACACTGGAAAACAAAGCACACAAACATGAATGAGTACACACTCATTGCGCTGCGCAGAACCCTTCATTCTTGCAGGTCTGAAGCCTAGCGTTTGTCAAACATGGCAGTATAAGATGAATCATACAAAAAATACATGAAGAAACCGAAACAGTCCCAAAATGATACCGCATGATAGAACGCCTTTTTTATAAAGATTTTAAAAATATTATAGGTCAAGGTATGCTCAAAATTAATGTGATTGACATTGGGTTGCGATCTCCAGGATCTGATCACTACTGATAAAAAAAACTAAATAAATAAAGTCGAGTAGACACCTACATTGTACTAGTAATGATGTTATCATGTACTAAGAGAGGGCCGATAGGCCAATGTTACGCTCACCACCAGCAGGAGCAGCAATGCCTTGGCATTCTAATAAATACACCCCGGATTGGCAGGGCGCTATCACCCTTGCCACCCAGTGGAATAATAGACCTGGGCGCATAGAGCATGCCCAACGGCATGTACGTATTAACACGTACTAGCAGTCTGGCTGGATACACACAGCAGAGAGAGAGAGAGAGAGAGAGAGAGAGAGAGAGAGAGAGAGAGAGAGAGAGAGAGAGAGAGAGAGAGAGAGAGAGAGAGAGAGAGAGAGAGAGAGAGAAAGAGAGACAGAGAGAGACAGAGAGAGACAGAGAGAGACAGAGATACTAACACATACTAGCAGTCTGGCTGGATACACACAGCAGACAGATAGACAGACAGAGAGAGAGAGGGAGAAAGAGAGAGAGAGAGAGAGAGAGAGAGAGAGAGAAAGAGAGAGAGAGAGAGAGAGAGAGAGAGAGAGAGAGAGAGAGAGAGAGTGTGTGTGTGTGTGTGTGAATATGGGTGTGCGGGTGTACCCATTGCCATTGCCTGACAAAAGAAAAGGCAGACTGAGCAAGGCATAGCATCCAACAGCATGACGAAACCCATAGTTACATCACTCCTTCCAATCCCAGCACGCTGCAGAGGTTATCTTGGGATATCATTGGAGACGGGATTCGTAGGAAAACAGAAGCGGGTCAGAGAAACTCGGTCTCCAAACGACGTCCATATTGTAAAGTGAGCAGGTTGTCACCGTCAAAACCTTGAACAAATATTTGTTTTTTTCCCATAGTGAAATGCCACTCCGGCAAGTGTTTTCGCGGGCACTGAGCCAGTACGGCAGTAATGAAATTGCTGCTTTCAGGGACTTGCCCAACGGGTGTAGTGTCGTCACTAAGCATGGCTCAGGACAGACATACGTAAGCTACTTTTCTGAGGTTTCCGAGTAGTCCTTCAACATGTCGTCACTGAGATGCACGTTGAGCGTTTTCACCTGCCGCTTCTGGCCGCGCTTGTTCTTCTTGGAGGCTGACTGTGTGGGTGGCTTGAGCGTTTGTCCTTTCATTGTGCTGATGCCGGCGTTCTGCAGGTACGTCTCAATGTCATGGTCGCTGAGACCCTCCACGCTGATGCCACGCCACAGCTGCTGGTACTCAGTGCCGATAGGCAAGCGGCACTCCGCCTCGTTATGGAAGACCACCACCTGCTTGTCGGGCCTCTGGAACGTCAACACATTCTCGTTCAGGTTCTTCATGACCTTCTCCCAGCGCGGCATGGATTCGCGTATGTCAGCTAGCAACACTGCAGGCAAACCTTCTTCCTCTTTGCGCTTGAGCAGGGCCAGGAGTTTAGCGGAGTTTTTCAAACTGTACAGCGGCTTGTAAGTAAACTTGCCGCCATCTTTGCATGCGATTTTTGGATTGTCACGCACAGCCTGCTGCAAGAAATCACGCATATTCGGACTCATATCTGAATAGTTGATGGCTTTCAGGATCTCGTCAAACGGCAATGGCTCTGAGATCCTCTCCATGTGCCGTTCACGTAGCTTATCCACAATCATTTTCAAAACTCCCAGTTTGTTCTTAGTGCGAAACTGCTGAGGAACTTGGGCTGCAGCGTAACTACTAATCGACATGGGAACCGACGAAGTTTGCTTGCTGACCATCGCAGCTAAACTCGACGGTGCTTTGGACTTTGATTTAGGCTTCGACTTGACTTTGTCTTTGCCTCCAGTCTGCCCACCCACAGCACCAGCATACTGGATAGCTCGCTGCTTCATAGCATTTTTCTGGCGAAGAAGTTCGGGATCCATTTTTGCTCCTTCGATCAATCTTCCGTCCCCAAACAACGATGTTCTCTCACGGCCTCCACTGAGAAATGAAGCCATGATTTCAACAATCTTGTAGATACGTCCTTCACTGTTCATTCATTCATGTCACATGCATAAACACCGTAGCATTCATGTTTCGTTGACTACAACACCCTGCGGGGGCTCGTAGAGTGCGATGGCAAAGACAAAGAAAAAGAAAAAACTGGCTGTGCATGCACGTCACTCAGCTCTTGGCTTGCTGCGCGCGCTGTACATGTACCATGTGTACTGTCTGTACATCATACGTGCATACATGACTAGACAGTGTGTGTGTGATATGATACGTCTATGAGGACGTCATCGTTCTCTTTTTTTCTTCTTTTTTTACTCATTTGAGTCATTGTGCATGTCTTTTGAAGTAAGTAATAATTATTATTAGTTGCAAGCAAGCTATGTTTAGCTCAAGGAGTTGTAAAATACAGTCAAACCTCATGGGGACGAACACTGATATGATAAGGGAATTTCTTTCCAGAACAAAATCAGCGCCTACAATTGTAGTAGATGTACGAACTCTAGGTCCACTATGCGGCATCATCATAGTATTGGCATAATTTGGTGGTTGAACATTTGGAGCATAATTTGGCATCCATTCGGAGGTAGGAGCATAACTTAACTACATGATTGTACTACAGTTTTAGTATGTACTAGTAGGCTACACAATAGTGTACCGTGCACCTGATCAGTGCTGATGGTCTGCATGGTAAAGGGTTCGGAGGCAGACAGCATTTCCAGTGAAAAACAGGGCAGAAAGCATGGCAATACGTTGTGTATGCTCTTTTCTATGTTGATGTCTAGTACGCATGGACACCTTGGTATGGGGATACTCATGTATTTTGTTGTACGTATGGCCACTTGCAATTGCGAAAAGCGCACAACTTTCCGAACTTTGAGGCTCCATAAGTACAACAAAGTCACGGCATAAGTATCCCGCGTGCCAAACCCGGCATATTTTTAAAGCCGAGGATTTTGTGAACATATTGCCAGCGAGCATCCAGGAACGCATAATTCCGCAATGGTGGGGGGGGGGGGGGGCCTAATGTCGGCCTCCACCCGGCATGCACCATGCTGCATGACATAATCAACACCACATTCATAAACTGTTTTTTCTTCATAAAATTGATCTGCAAAATCTTTCTTTCAAGCTTGCCTTGGCCAATCGGACTACCGCCGTACCGGTAGTGATTGTAAGTCTGTCCCTCCAGGAAATCGCAATTCCACGGATGCAACCAATTTCGCGTTTTAGCCCAAACTCACGATTTTCTGCAAAATCCGCTATTTCCTGCGTTTTTTAATTGTTTCCTGCACTTTATTTGTACATCTTTATGCAGTTTTCACGAAGTGCTTTCCATGTTCATGTAGGTTATTTGCACAGTACGACTCGTACTACTCCCGAGTAGACCTACTGCGAAAATAGCGATTCTACGGATGCAACAAATTTCGTGATTCGGTCCAAATCCACAATTTTCTGCAAATAATTCCGCGAATTCCTGGGAAGTTCCGCATCTCTCCGCTCTTTTTACCGCAACTTCTTGCACAAGTTTTCGAGAAATTTTCCGCAAATTCCCGCTGGAACAGGTAAGTGTCTCCTCCAGCCCAGGCTGCGTGTATCACCCATTCACTGAGCTTTTGACCGCTGTGCGCTGCCGTTCGGGCGCCCATTAAAAGTTATGCTAGAAAACAGATCGACACCGGCTGCCGTGGGATTCAAGGTGAAGCTACTAGTACATTGTATTCATATCAGTAATGATCAAAGCATAAGCCGCAGCATAGCGCGATCCACTATGTACCGTCATTGTACATCAAGTTGCAGACTGACTATGAGTCACACGACTCACAGGCCATGATGTACATGTACTTGAAGTAATACGTATAGTGAGATAACGGCCGGGGGACTATGGCCTCAGTGATATCATCTATCATCATCATGATTGTATGGCTGTCACTGTTATGTACACGTGCCACTGTACCAAACACTGTTAAAACAACTGTTATGTACACGTGCCACTGTACCAAACAGAAGTGTAGAGGAAAAAATCCAAGAAAAAAAGCAAGCATGATAATGTCAGCATTCCTGAACAATGTAGCACACAATGACATAAGTGGCAGCAACAAAACTGAATATCATCATGAACAGGCAACTTGAGTCAAGCTGGGCCCATTGCGGAAAGCAGGACAGAAGCCAAATGCATCGTTCACTGTGACAGAGCTGGCACATTAATGTTTGGAACTCTGAAGTAGTGTGTTGGGCCATAATAGTTCTGCATGTGTTGCATCATCATCATCATCATCATCATCATCATACTTGCATGCATATCATACTTGAAGCAGAGCCGCCGAGGCATGACTAGACAAAATATTGTCTGCACTGTCACTGAGCTGGAGGGAAATACAAGTCAGTGGCTGTCCCTTGCACACAGGATTCAAACTCAGTGCTGCACCTCTTAAAGCAAACCGTGATGCAGGCAGCGAGCGGCTTAGCATGGAACAGTCCTGGCTCATGGCTCATGGTCCGGCAATGAGCTAGGCACATGGTCGCCAAGAATAGTCTCTCTCGTTCTCTGGCTAATAGGGTGCAGCAATAAAGAATAGCATTTGAATCTGATTCCAGAGCGCAGAGCAGCACAATGCGTATTCCATTACTAGTCTGTTACCTTTACATCCGGTAGCCAAATATTTCATGCCATCTGCAAACCAATTTAATAGTGTGCTGATTTGTGTGTGTGTGGGGGGGGGGGGAGACTCGAGAGAAAGTTAGTGGAATAGAATGATAAACTATGATAAAGAGAACCGATAGAAATGATCATACTCCCTAAAGTAAAATCAGTAACGTCGTCAAACAACAGTGGGTGTGAATGTCAGCGGCCAACACTGAAAGCCGTACACCACCAGTCCACTGCATGCGGCACTGCCTAGGCTGGACCTGCCAGAGCAGCAGAGTGATAGTAGTGACATTCAGCATTAGCAGTGCACCAGATCAGTCTAGCTTGTGTGCAATATCAAGAGAAGGGGGAAAGGAAAATTAGTGTGCACTCACAATAGAAGGAAGCATTGATGTACATCGGGGTGGTTGGTCTGGAGAGGAACTGCGGGATGGGCGCGGATAGCTTGCGCATGTAGGTTATCACCGGTATCACTCTCAAGTAAGATGCTGGTGTGATTGATCTTCAGCATCTCGGGTAGATTTTGATTCCGGCAGGTGGACGATTACAACACGGGCCAGTGGCCATTGTCATGCAGCTGTAGCACCCTTGCTAACGTTAGGTCCGACTGGAAAGGCGAGAGCAGGATCTCTCGGGAAACTCGACTTCGCATCCCTGGGCTGCTCAACCCATTGCATGTCGAGGTCATAGATGCAACACGGTAGTTACTAGTACTATGTACAAACTGTTACTTGCTACTGTCTGGTAGTGACAAAGGCGTACAGTAGCTCATACAACACACAGAACATCCACCTACTCGGCCAGTTGCGGGCGAACACACCTTGGGAGAATCAGCGGCGTTCCCTGGTATCCGAATCGATACGGTTGCGTCCAGAAACTGACTTGCGTGCCACCGGGGGTGCGGCACTTCTCTTTTCCTGGCTTCTATCCTTCTTGTCATAGAGATCCCCGCTGCGCAGCGCCGACACAAGGTCATCAAACTCACCAGCCGCTTTGGCGGCATTGCGAGCCTTTCTCTTGGCCTTGATATCCTTCTCACGTTGCTTTGCCTATCAGAACCGACACGGAGAAACACAACAAGAAACTTGACACCAATTTCAGCAACAAAAACAGTTAGGTCCGCCTGTCTGCAGGAGTGTCTGTGTGCTCATGATCCTAGTGCACATTCAAAGAATTCCGCACGCATCATCAGTTCTTAGTTATCCACTGGAATAGTATGAGCTGTACATACCTCTTCCTGCTGACGCAGCTTCTTCTCCTCCTCTTCCTTTCTCTTGCGCGTGGCCACATTCTCGGCATGGGATTCCTGTCACAGGAGATATTCATAGCCGGACGGTCAGCTAATCAGCACGATGCCTAGCATACATAGTATACCCATTACATTCATACCTCGTTGATCTGGGTGGTCCGGGACCGAGCACTGCCTGTAACTTTCAAATGTCTGTAACTCCGAATCACATACATTTTGAAGGGGAAAGGCCATAGATATGGCATGTGACGTCACTATTTCCACAAAAAGTGACAAAAGAGTAGTAATATTTCCACTGAAACTCGCCCAAAGGGTGCCCGGTAGACTGAAGTGCCAGTAACTTTGGGGTCTGGATAACCGAGGTGCGAGTGTACTTGCCAACCTTGTTGCATTTTCATGATGCAATATCACAAGCTTTTTTTTGTAGCAAATCAAGTACGGTATAAATTTCAAAACAACTCGCAATGACCACCAAAGTTACGGTTTTACCCATTTTCTGAAACATCCTGCAATACAGGAGTGAATTCTCCAGTGTAATGTACCGTGCTGACAAGACTACTAGTACAAGCTGTAAGGTTGACGTGTACATGTACGTGTAACATATTTTACAGTGTTGCAAAGCCTGAGTATAGTTCCCTGGCCACTGGGAAGAGGACAGTAACATACCGTGATCACTAGTGCATGCATACCGCCAGTGTGGGCGTGCATGTATAATACTTTGTAGCGGGTGCATGTTTTTTGATTCGCACATATCGCAGGTGTACTGGTGGTGTGGTGTATGTGAGAGCGTACTGTCGGCAACAGAGATGGGACAGAGATACCAGAACACAGGTTCTCTCACCGAAAACTGAATCAGGAACGTGTTGAAGGTGCCAAAGAATTCCTCGCTGGCAATCTTAGTGTCTTCACCAAACATTTCCACGGCTTTCAGGTACTGCAATGGGGAGAGAAGAGGACACAAAGGAAAACATTGTTTCCATTGCATACACTATGTAACTGCACCAACATGGCCAATTATTATTTTGTACTTATTTTCAGAAAGTAACCTCTTTTGCAAGCTTGAAATGGGCATCTGTCAATCCTGGAACTGAAGAAATACATACCTCATCTTTCATGTGCTTAATCTGATTCTCCACATCAGCAAATATTCCACCAGCAATCTCCATAAATTCTCCCATCACTTCAACGTAGCGGTCTCCCAGCGGACGCGAGGGACGGTTTGCCTGGTACGTCAGCTCCTGAAGACCAGATCACATACACAACACGCCGGAATTTGTTTTAGAAAAAGGACATATCTCACAGTCACCCATCCTGTTGCACAGTACTGAGCTCCTCCGGAATATGGACAACATATAATTATGTGTAACCTTGTCCCAGGCTGTGCACACTCCAACAGATTGGGAAGAAGCGGTAATCAAGGAGGGGAAGTGTGCTGTTCGGTGGATACACCTAGGACATTGTAATGACTACCATAAGAATCCAGACCGCTGTAGGCAAGTCAGACTGTCTTTGTTCAAACCCACACCGTGACATAGTGAGCAAGCATACAGTGTAGCATCTGAAGCCGTGATACCTGCCTCACATCAACAGTGAAATGCAGAGTCAGTTCTGTTAATGGTCGATCAACACTTTATCTTGAAAGCCATAGTTCACATTCAAATACAAGAAAATGGGGTCAATGCAGAGAAGGAAGGGGAAGATGGATGAAAGGGAGGAGGGAGGAATTGGGAGGAAAATGGAGGGGAAGAGGGGGGGGGGGGGGGTGCATACACAAACATACCGTACTGAGCTGTGCAGGTTGTTTGTAAACACAACTTACATTTTTGACATTGTTTAGACCAGTACGCAGCGTGGCAACGTCTTTCTCAACCTCAGGAATGCTGCAATGACAGGAAAAGGACACGATGTCAGTATGTGTATTGCATCACACCATCTCTGCATGAAATTGTGCATTTGGAAAGGCCAGGCAATTTTCTTCAGAAAATTCCGCCACCTATCTGACACATACTTGTAGTTACGTAAGTTATCATCCGTTCATTGTCTCACAAGGAGAAGAAGAAGTGCAAGGCAGTGCGAGTATGCGCACAGCTATCCAGGCATCCCGGCTACGGTGTACTATTTATGTGTATACAAATTACGTGTTATGAAGTAGCCATACTACACATGTACCTGTCTAAGGCAACAATGATTTCAGGCGAGGACTACCGTTGAAAATGGTTTCATTCCAACAGCAAGTAAGGCATTGCTACAATAAGAGCTGGAGATTCCAAGACTGCACACTATAGTAGCGGCAAGTCTTATCTTGAGTATACAAGTCACATGGTGTTCTCCTCTGCTAGCTGCGGCCTGCAATGCCGCTCCTATTTTCCAGGCTGTGCGTCCCTGGGCTGCACATTCTGCACATTCTGCACATTCTGCACATTCTGCACATTCTGCACATTCTGGGCCCTAGCCTACAGTTGTAGTGTATTGACAACACTTTACCAACAGAACTGTTCAGCATGTAGAGAAATGCTGCCATGTGATGAAAATGGAAGTGCAGATTTTCTTACTTGCACCGGGATGCTTCCCTGATGAAGCTCAAATCCTCATCAATGGCCATCAGTTCTGGAAACTGTGAAACAGGAAATAAGAGACATAGAAAAGGACCGGCATTGGTATGTAACTACACTAAAAATGCGACTGCTTCTTCTTTGCTTCTGTCTACGTGATACCACAGTGAATCATTGGTTTCATAAGTAAGTAAAAGCAGACTGCCTCAAGTTCTTTTTCCCCTCTTTCAATGCTGTTGATAGTGATAACTGTGACCAACCTTTTCTGCCCTACATCATGGGATAATTACACAAACATGCAAGACGGCTTGACTTCATTCACAGCGGGCATAACAGGTAGCGCACACATTAAAAAAACTCGAAAAATTTGAAAGTTGTCCGATCAGGTCGAGGGATAGCTCAAACGAAAGGTGTTGATCCGTAGAATATGTGTGTAAATTCTTTTTGATTACGACCAACGAAACAGGAGATATGCGCTCTAGAAGATTGCAATTAAATTTTAAAATTTGAATATTTGGAGTACGCATCAGTGACTTTTCGCAATCGGAAATCCACCAATTTCGCCGTTTCCTGTGATTCTAAGCCAGATTTTGTGTCAAATTCTGATAACACCATGCTTCCAGCACTCACCGGTGATGGCATGGTCACGAGGTGTAGCCGCGCCTACGCGTTCGCGTACACGATCAGCTGAGCTTGGACAAAAAATGTGTTTTTTTTTGTGAAATTTGTGACAATTACCTTGTCAAAGTTGCTGTCAGGAGCTGCTGGAGACGATAGGCAATGCAAAGCGACGTTCTAGAACACCCAAGAGAGTATTTCACGGCAATCAATGTGGTCGTGAAGGTAGTGCAAGTGCGCCGCCTGAAGAGCAGGCCGTCGCGGATCATGAAGAAGAGGCGATCACCACTAGAAGCAGCAGTTCTGAGAAATTGCAAGATTTGAGTTTTTCGACTTGGAATGTGGACATGGACAGCAGCTCCGAGTCAGAGAGCGATGCCGGCGATTCTGATCACCAAGAAACTGGCCCAGCAGGTCCAAGTGATGGCTTCTCAGTCTGGCGTTGGGTATCGCTTTGTGAGCTTGGGCCTCCTGCTCGCTGCCATTGCACTTTTTTGTGTGTGGAAGTCATGCAAGAGTGGCAATGGGATTGTGAAGGAGGGAAAACGCAGTGGCCTGGCTACGACAATTACCTTGTCATGATCAAAGTGCCCTGCTGAAGTTTCTTTGTCCATGTCGCCCAAGCTCCCAGGATCTTTTTACGAGATAGATCGCAGTGTTCGCAATGCGCACGATTGGCCGTGGTCGTCAAGCACTGGTAAAATTATGTGCAGTGCTCAATATGCCAACACCAATGAGTCGGAGCAGTTTCTCTGGCCACCAGAATGCTCTATATTCTGCAGTAGAGGTAGTTGCTGAGAAAAGCATGGATGGTGCTAGCAGTGCTGTGCAAGATACTGTCGGCGGTGACGTGGCTGTTTCAGCGGATGGTGCCTGGATGCACCGCGGCTTTTCCTCACTCTATGGTGCTATGACCGCTATTGCATGGGAGACTGGCCAAGTCGCTAAGTGACGGCAAATCCGAGTATCAGCGGTAGTGGACACCTGACAAACAAGCAAATCCAAGTATCAGCGGTAGTGGACACCTGACAAACAAGCTCGGCAAACCCTGCGTATCAGCGGTAGTGGACGCCTGACAAACAAGCTCGGCAAACCCTGAGTATCAGCGGTAGTGGACACCTGAAAAACAAGCTCATTGACTCCTTGCAGAACCGGTATGGGAAGGTGATAAGAGAGAATAGTGGTGACTACTGTGCTATGTGGAAAGCTATTTGTGCCTCGCTTTGTCATCGTGCATCCACTGATGAGAATTCCTGTCATGAGTTCTGCCCAACTGATAGCTGGCGTGGCTACCACAAAGCTACCGCTGACAAGCCTTACGGACACCACAACCCTATTCCAAAGCCTATCTACGAACTGATGGTGCCAGTGTATCGTGAACTTGCCGACAAGCAGCTGCTACTGCCCGAAGTGCGAGAAGAGTGCGACACAGAATCGCAATGAGTGTTTTAACAAGCTGGTATGGTCATATTTGCCTAAAACGGAGTTTGCTGGTGCATGTGTTGTCAACAGTGCTGTTTACCTGGCTGTGCCTATTCATTTCAACCATGGCATTGGTACTTTCGAGCACATCCTTCGTGAAATGAATTGCCCTGTTGGAGACTGCACCCATTCAGCCTTCTCCGATCTCGATTGTTTCACGCATGGAGAACAGCCTTGCAAAGTGCAGTGCAGCAGCAAAGTCAAGGAGAAAGAGGCTCAGGAGGATCAAGATGGGCTTGGAAGATGAAACTGTGGAGACCGAGGAGCCAACTTATGGGTCTGGTGTGTTTTAGTGACTGGTAGCTACCAATATTCAGGAAAACTGGCCAATTTTGATAGCTATTTTTCTCCATTTTCAGCTGTTTTCGGACTCTTCCGTGCAGCGTATCTCTATGGATATTGTTTTTCGGTATGTATATAGTATGTATTTTTGATTCCTTGCTGGATTGTCCGGGGCACTAACCTCTCTACTTTTGACTAGCTGACACTTGGATTGTCACAAGTTTCTGCCTGCTTCTTGAATTGCTGGTTGTGTGCATTTTACACTCCCGTATGAATTTTTGGGCCTCTGGTGAGATTCATGGAATTTCTCCTGGTGTTCTTAGGTTAGTGCCCTCCGAAGTGGACTATAGAACATCAATACACGAGAATTGGTATCTCTTCCAATGCAATGTGTTCTGTATGGTGCACACCGTGCCGGATTTTGTAAAAATCGGAAGGCCATATTGGTCAAGTCTGGCCACAGGCAGGGTAACACTTCTGGTCTAGTTTTGTTGTGGCATTGTATCTGTGCTGTCTAAAGAAAGAGTACAGAAAATTTCATTAGATTTCTTTGATGGATCTCGAAGTTAAAAAGGAATCAATACAGATGTATGCGTTAATTAGTATACCATGTGTACGCTACCCTTAAGGTGACCAGACTGATACCTCCATGGACATGATCCCGGTCACAATACAATCATGACCGCATGCATAATAACTACTGCACTCTAACAGGATTGAGAAATATTTCTTCATGACCCCCCCCCCCCGCCCCCCAGTCTGGCAGCCAGCCCCCTTACCCTGGACTCGATGACCTGTACGGTGAAGTTGAGCAGCGTGAAACGCGTTCCTGCAGCTCCAGACTTGGTATCAACCATCTTGGTAAGGCTAGAGATCTTGAAACCTATCACAATATCACCAGCACAAATTTCAACACCGTCACAGTTATGCGAAGAACCACACCAACTTCTCAATTGTATGCCAACAGAGCTTTTGAAGGATGAATGCTTGAACAAGTGGTCAGCAAAATAATGTGCTACGCCAGTAGGTGTTACAAAGGCCTGGCAGTGCCCTGATGGAACCAGAAACCGTACCATGGCCAGCAATCGAGGACATCTGAGAGTTGTAATTTTTGTACTCCTCCGAGGTGTGATTTTTGGCGTGCTGGGCCAAGCACAAGGAAGCCACCTGTCAAAAAATGAAGAAAACGGTTGTTTGATCCTTTGGTGTAATCTTTGTAGCTAGTCGAAGCAAGTATTAGTTGCTGTTTGGAGCAGAAACGCTGAAATTGACTATTTTCTGCATGTACTCATGCATGTACTGTATTTTTCGGAGTATAGTGCGCACCTTTGTATAACGCGCACCCCCAATCTTCATTGGGGGTGCACACTTCAATCTTCATTGAAGTACATGCATTTCATATTCGGAGCATAGTGCGCACCTGCGATTTAGGGCCTAAAATAGCACATCTAAAGTGCCCACTATACTCCGGAAAATACGGTGCTCATGTACTCAGGCATGCAGTCTCACTCGTATTTTAGCTATTTTTCTGGAATGGACGCTGCTCTGCGCCCCTTGGTGAACATTTCCTGCGCCCGTGGAACAGCTGAAAAGGACCACTGGTATGTCTGGTTCCTGGTTTGAAAGTGGAGAGTCGACTTTTGTGCCTTGAAAAAGAAGTAGAGAGTGAAAAGGTACGTCTGTAGCTTAATTTGAGTGCTCCTCGTACATTTTTGATCGTGATAGAAATTCTAACACCAAAGTCAGCGCGAAGATGGCCGTACAGTTTTCTTGTGGATTTTTTAGTTGTTTCGTCTCGTATCTATGTCAGTATCGTGATGGTGAAGTGGAGAGGGTGATTTTCTTTCTCTGGGCTTCGTTCGGCCGACTTTGCTTCGTCCTCGTTGAAAATTGATGCTGAAAAAAAGGTCGATCCACAAAATTATGTGGATTTTGAATGTACGTGATGACATACGATTGCTGGCTATGTCAACTTCTGGTCTGGTGCATAAGCTGAGCCTGCCCGGGCCAAAGGGCACTCACTAAGGGGTCATCCATAAACATCAAACTTTTTTCACAAAACGAAATAATTTCGTTATGGGGTGGGAGGGGGTTGACCAATTTCGTTTCAGAAAACATTGATTCATGTACATGGCTGTTGTATATGCATGTATGTCAACATTTTTTACGTTCTGAGGGGGAGGGAGGGAGGGGTTGAGTCTAAACTAAAATAATTCGTTTGGTGAAAAAAGTTCGATATTTACGGACTAAGTACTTATAATGTGGACAGCATTCACTGTAGTTTAACTAAATAATTTAAAGAAGGTAACACTGTGCACAGCACTATACAGTCAGTATGCAGCACACCAACACAATAGTAGGCCACCAGTTCACCACCTGAGTTATCGTGTCCCACCAAGCAAGCTGCCACTTACCGTAGGCGTTGCCTCGAATTCCTGTGTTCATGTAGTTACCGAAGAGCAGAACCAGCTCAAGGACCTTGCGCAGCTTGTTGCTGTTCAGTAGCTGCTGTGAAGCCAAAGCCAGGGCTGCACAATAACAGTCAGTAACGGCAAACATACAATACATGTACAGTTCTATGTCAATACTCTCCACATTCACATTCTCATAAAGCTGGTGCAAAGAGAAACTTTCTGATAGGAGATATTCTGTCTCAGCGGCAGTAGCTCTGGCATGCAAAGAAAGAACACAGTGCTAACGAACGTTATGATAGGACTGTAACACCCATTTGCTTCCACAGCAGACTCATTGCTCAATGCTCGTTTACTGCAGAATGCATCCCTGTAGATTGCTGTTTGGATATCTATACCCCACCCACTCTCTACTCTCTGTGGCAACTGAGGATCACAATAGAAAAGGTTACATCCTTTATCACACTAGATACACAGCTTTACCGTTGATCTTTGGCCGAATCTCATCCACGGAATCCACGAACTTGCGCTTGTAGTAGAGCGTCTCAAGACGTTGTTGGTAATGGGGAATGCGGCCGACTTCAAACAGGAACCGATCTGCGGCGGAGAAGCGCTCAACCTCCTCGCCATGGGAGTGCGACTCGAGAAGTTCCATTTCATCGCTCTGAGGCGTGTACTTCAACAGCTTTAGTTGGGAAGCAAGGAAAGAGGAGACAACAAAACCATTCAAACATCACATTGGTGCCTGTGCCACATCAGCAGCAGCAGCAGCTGTTGCATACACTCGGGAGCTCTCTTGCCTTGTCTTGGTTTCGCACTCTTTCTAGTTTCACATCATTGTTACCCACCTTAGTGAACATATCACTGTACTTTTCTCAGTGACTTGGATGCTTTGAGTTGATTTAAGAAGAAACTTCATTGCCAATTTGCCGTCAGTTCAGCCAGTCAGTTACCTTGACTGGCCTAAGCTCGAAGATCTAACAAGATCGATACAGCTACCTAACTGGATATTGTGTACATGGTGTAATATAAAAGAGTGCACATACCTGCTCCAACATGTCGCGTGGAATTTCCTCTTCGTCCATTTGCAAGACGAGCACTTTGATCTCTTCGTAGCTGGTCTTCAACTTGGACAAGAGAATGGTAAGGTTCTGTACACAGAGGTGAGCAGAAACATACATCAGAATATACATGTAGTCATGGAAAGCGTATCAACCAGCACCCACAGCATACACAGCAATTCAAGATCATAGCAGCCAGTAATGCCAGTCCGGTCGTGGAACTTTTATTCGACAAGTCAAGCCACACACTCAATTACTGCAAAACCGGTGCCATTTTCATGCCCTCCTGCCGATTTAGTGTCATATCATTGCATATGCACACACTCACCAATGCAGGTTATGCAGGCTATGGAGGCTATCATGCATGGTGGGTGCATTGCTGCAGAACCAGGGTTTACGGGTGTTAGCAGCCATCGTGAGTTCCCTTCCAGGGGCGTCGGACACGATACGGTCACTGCGGTATTGACCGTACCACTCTTTGCCCCGGGTACCCTGTGAATTAATAACAGGCACTGATTGGGGCTCTAAATTTCGAACATTTTCTGAGGAGACAACCCAACCCCACGAGTAAAATGTCCTTCAGGTGGCTGACCGTACCACCCTGAGATACCTTCCGACGCTCCTGCCTTCGGGAACGGACACGATAATTTCTTTACTTTTACTTGCTGCAGAACTTGTCAAAGACTGCGGTAACTTCGTTCCACACATTCATGCCAGGAATCCCTGGATCAGCGATACATGACATACAACCAGGCTTTCAATATTGCTCACCTGAGCACGTCGAGCCTCAACCAACGTGACAACTTCCTTTTCTTTGCCCCTGTTGAATGACTGTGATACAGATTGAGTCCGGTCCTGTAAACAGATGTAAACAGATGTAAACAGATGATGAAGTGTGCAGATACATGTACATGTGACCAGTGTACTTGTGTCTGAGAACAATAGGCAAGGACAACCACCATGCATACATAGCATATTCCCTGACATATCCGCAACTATAGAAAAGTGAACACAACAGAAAGTTTTTTATAGCAAAGAAAAGGACCAAGGCCGGAACTACAAGTTACGCTATAATAACGACAGAAAGTGTTCATTGGACACAAGCACAATGCGGCCATGGTGATGTTCAAACAATACAAACTGCAATCACACAGTACCTACCTTCTGGAAGGCCGCAAACGTTGTGTCAACCTCCTTCAGGTCTATCTCCTTGATCAGCTGCACACCATACACACCATACAGAGATTCCAACTCCCGCAAACTACATACGCACCCATACATACACATGTGGTAGATTTGGTGTCACGTGTTTGTTTCGTCTTGGTCGCTGTGGACACGCGTCATTGGTTGGTGGTGTTGTGCGCATGCGCGAAACTGTGCGAGCTAGTCTTTGGTCTGTCGTCTTGTCAAGATGTAGTCGTTTTCCGTGTTCTTGTTTATTCGTCAATAAAAAGAGAGTAAAAAGGCAGTCCAGTGGTGGCGGTTGAGCTGATGCAGTGATGGAGAAGTAATGTTAGACGAACAACTACAACATTTACCTCCCCCCCCCCCCCCCTCCCAAAAACAGACTTACACACATGCACACACACACACACATCTTCATCTAAGCACATAGCCGGACCATCACACAGTAACTCACCCACATGCATGTGTGGCATGGCTACTTTATAACATGTGAGACAATGAATGAACGATAACTTACGGATTACTACAAGTATGTGCTTAGAGAGTCTTGAGTGCCGCTGAGAGTATGCGGGTTACACATGCATAATATGCTGTACCAGTGAAATCTGACCACAAGCGTCCCCGAGGGTAAAGCCCAGCTTAGTTCACACGTTTACGATGCAGCTCATCAAGGCGTGGATCTGCAGCAAGTGGTCAGCTTTCACCAGCCAGCATTGTACATGTAACATGTGCACTATCTCTCTGCAAATTCTGTGCATTACTCGGCCATTGTTGCATCAGCAACATCATGATTACAGTTACTAGCATATGTCATTATGTGGCATGCATACTACAATGTAAACAGCTTTCATCACATGCACAAGTTCACCAATGCCACAACGCAAAGACAAATTTGAGGTAATGACCACAAATGAACTTTTAAAACTTACCCTGGTTTCGTTCAAATCTTTCCATATTGTCTTCTCAATTTTTGCCTGGAAGATAGAGGAAGGCAAGCAATACAGTGTTGACCAAATCACCACCGGAACTTAAAAGCGGAAGGGCAAGTATCACATGCAATTTATAGCATCTCCAATGCACTCAACCGCAGGATATGTAAACTGAATACATGTACTTCGAACACATTCAATGGCAGTAGAGTCAATCCCAGCACAGTCAAACTTGTGCAACTATCATCCTAGGAGGGACAGATAGTCAGTCCTCACCAATAGGACGAGGTCATCTTCAAACACGGAAAATGTATATATGCGGAAACTTGGCTTGGTGCTTGAGATGTCCGAACCTTTCAATTAAAAGCAGGTGGTATTCTCTTGGTGTGTTCACTTTAAATACCAGGCTTACTCAAGTAACATAGCTTACATCTCATGCAGCCAAGTGATGCCCCCCCCCCCCCCTCCCATCATGGAGCGCTGGTCTTTGGGGAAATATAAATTGCTACAGCATTCCCAACACCCACACGTGAACTATTCCGTCATTGCGTCTGCCTTACATCTGGTATTTTCGACCAATTGAAGGACTTCAGCTGTACAGATGCCTTGGGGATCTTCTTTGCAGGCAAGCGACTTGGCGCGGCGAAGCCTGCAACAGGTTACCAACAAAGTCCATGCATAACTCCTTACCAAGTGTGCACATCATAATTATTGTGTGTTGTCAAGAGGAAATATACGCATGCAAATACTGCTACTGTTGCAAAAAATGATGATGAGGAGCGGCTCCCTTTGCAGCAAGAGTAGGGATGGCCTATACATCATTTACTCAGCACAGTCTTACAAATGCCACTTTAGCCGTAGGATTTAGCTGCCATTGCAACATACTATCTGTGCATTGTACTGCCCCATGGGCATACCTGCAATGATGTTTCAGGGAAACGGTTGGGAACAAATAAGCCCACTTCCAGACTGCCAACATTGTAGAGTTAGTTATATACTCATGATCTTTACAGTGGAAGTAGAGAGCCTTACTACGCACCTGGCATTCCTGGTGGCGGTGGTGCACCAGGTGGCGGCGGAGGCGCAGGAGGTCCACCAGGAGGCCCTCCAGGTGGTGGAGGAGGAGGTGGTGGGCCTGCCCCTGGTGGCGGTGGTGGCGGCGGCGGTGGTGGTGCTGGAGCGCCAGCCGTGGGGGTCGTTGCTGCTCCGGCTGCTGGCGCTGATTTCATTTCGGCGAGCAGCTTCTGTGCTTCAGCTTTACTATTGTCAGAAAGGCCTTTCAATGATTCCTCCAGAACAGCCATTATTCTCTTTTGATCTCCACCGCCTCCCTAAAATACGAATCACCACCATTCACAACTAACCAATTTGTACGCATACATCTCCAGCCTATGCACATTAGCAAATGCCGAATTCATTCAGCCAAACCAAGTTGGACATAATCATAGCCAGGCAAAAACAGACACGGGAAAATACAAGTAGAGATCGGCTATGCGGTTGGCGATTATAGCAATACTAGTATACCGGCTATAATGTTATCAGCTTCCAAATTCCAAAGCAAACGTGTCCTTTCCTCTCAAACTAGACCGGTTATAAGGGTAATTGGCTATAGTAATGTATTGCCTATTGTGATCAAATTCTCACTTCAAAACCACTCAATTGCATACACGGTGGATCGTTTATAGTAATAACTATTGATAGTACCTACAGGAAGCTTTGGGAAACTGAGATTGTGTAAACGGTGTGCACTACTAGCAGTGTGGTAAATGAGTAGATGCATGTTGTTGCTATTTTGTACTTTTAACACAGTCTTGGTATGGTATTTATGCATGCACAAGTACAGTAAAACCTGGTGTAAGCGACCTCTGGGTTTAGTGACCACCTGCTCTTTGCCATCGTTTTTCGATGCACCGGAAGTTCTACACAGACACTGTGGGACCTGGTTCTAAAGACCACCTGACTTTAACGACCGCTTTTGCATGCACCGTGGGGTGGTCGCTTAAACCCGGTTATACTGCAGAATGCATGTCTGTTTGTGTATGTCATCATCACTAAGTTGTAAAGTTATCACTTACATACCAACCTGTCCAGGCGCATGTAGTAGTAATCGTCTATACACTCATACTTTGATTATCCGTGCGGTCCGGGACCGGGCACTGCCGCTAACTTTGAACTATCCAAGTCACAGACATTTTGATGGGGAAAGGCCATAGATATGGCATGTGAAGTCACTATTTCCACAGAAAGTGACAAAAGAGTAGTAACGTTTCCACTGAAACTCACCCAAAGGGTGCCCGATAGACCAAAGTGCCGGTAACTTCGGAGTCTGGATAACTGAGGTATGAGTGTAGAGATCAAATTACACTTTTTCAAACACCAACGTTATAACCGATCTCTCCCTGTACTCACCGAAGCACGGAGCTCATCGACCTGTACAAGAAGCTCCTTCTCGCGCTGTTTTGCCTCGCGGATATTGGCATTCTCCTTCTCCAGCTTCTGCATGACCTTGTTCATTGCGGCCTTGATGTCCTCCTGTACACATCATTAGCACCGGCAAACACGATAGTTCTTATGCATACCCGCGGTATTTTGTGATAGGGTGAAGTCACCCTTACACCCGGAACCCACTTGGGCGATGTGAACCAAGCGGGGCATGCATAGAAACAAAGCTTTCGTGCTGAAGACATTAGTTTTGTCGGCCGGAGTGCTTCCGTGATTGTTTGCTATGGAGTGGACACTTTTGGAAAGCAATATGCCTGGCTCAGAGGTAGAAAGCCGCCCGAGCTGAAACGTTGGCTTTCTTGTCGTGCGGAGTTGAAGCAGTTGATTATCGTGAAAGAATAACAGACAATGTGTTCGTCTATTCTCAGTCGTACTATAGTTGTACTTGGTTCACGTTCGTTGATTGGAATTCTTTTTTTGTATTTTTGCTGATCATTACAATTTCAGGGTTCATATACATCTCAAAGGGTCCTGAAAACGAACCAGTCAATCCAGATGGCGGTGCTATTGTGCACAGGAAGCGTAAAGCGATGGTTGCTGCTGTCGGATCCGATGTACCATCAGATCTATTGGACAAGTTTCCCCGATGCTGCCGGGTTGGAGTAGTTCTCTTCAGAAAGTTCCCAAAGTTCCGAAAGTCAGTTATCCTGTTATCTATCGTCATTTTGTTGAGAAATCTTCGGTTTGATCTGCCAGGAGCGACCTGGCAACTGAAAGTGCTGGTGATGTCTCTGATACTGACAAGCTCAGCTCCTTCAAAGGCATCCATATTACAAGGATACAACTTTTCTCTTTTTTCCGATCTGGGCATGTTCAGAAGTTGGAACTGGCAGAGAGCAATGACTGCACATTCACTCGATGCAATGTCCTTTCTTCCATAAAAAAAGTAGATCATACGCGGCTTACACCACCAAGGTATGCCTACTTCCTGATGGCATGGTGAAGTCAGCTACTTGTACATATACAGTTGGTCTTGGTGTCTCTCCTGTAACCATGTAGTATTGCTCTATGCGCTTGAGGAGTTTGTTCATTTTGGCTTGCAAGACGAAGATCTCACATCCGCACCCAGGTCTCATCTATGCCAGTGGAACAGGTCTCGGGCCAGGAAAGGTCTGCTGTAGCCGGTATTGCTGACATTCGCCTCTCAAAGGCAAGCTTTTCTAAGAAGAGTGCAAGGCAAAGGCAAGCTTTTCAAAGAAGCATGCAAGGCAAAGGCAAGCTTTTCAAAGTATCGTGCAAGGCTGAGCAGAGCTGAATACAACAAACGGGTTTTGGACCCTTCAGAGCTCCAAACATTCCAACATGACCTTGATGCAGCCCATGAGCATGCGCTCAAAGCAGACAAGTCAGGCAATGTCGCTATGGCAGCTTTATATGGCTGATGGGGGGGGGGGGGGGGGGTGCAGGCTCAGGCAGATACGAGCAGTGCTGGCAGCGAGGGCAGTGGTGCAGATGATAATTCACAACACGCAACCAGCTGAGACCCCCCCCCCCCCCCCCCCCCCAGACTCTCTGATACATACTACAGGTCGTCCCTCGTTAATACATTATCTCTGGGACTTGACAAATGTTATGTATTAACGGGGTTTATGTACTAAACAAAAGTGTACATAACTTGCTAGTATACCAGAATTTTTCACTTTTTTCAATTTTTCTGAGTGTTTCTTGCTACCATGACTAGGCAGCGAGATATTCTTGATTCCCTCGATATAACATAAAAATTATGTTATAACGGATACAGTTAGCTACACTAGACTACAGTGAGTTGACATGATACATGCCCAGCCGCACCTGTACAGTCACTCGAACAAAAAACCGAGGTTTTTTGGTTTGTGATATGCGCTCTGATTTCTATGCTAATTGCGTCCACAAGTAGAAACTAGAACACGGTGTGCCTCCACTGGAAGGCCAAAAGACCAACAAATAATTATGTACTATTGAGGTAGGTGACATGCGGGTACGGAGAAATGTTATGTACTAACGGGGTTTATGTACTAACGGATTATGTACTCACCGACAAAATTTGTATGGAAGTGACCACGTTTCGTCCGGGACTTGAGATTTCTTATGTACTAACGGGGTTTATGTACTAACCGGACTCGTATTAACGGGGGACGACCTGTATAACAATTTGGATGCTCTGGTTGGTAAACTAGAAGACCCCCGCCAGAGCCCTGATCTCAGACTTGACATCATAACCATTGTAAGTTATGCCGGATTTGACTAAGCTTTCCGCATTCTTTTCCTAAACACTATTCAATGGAGTCTAGTCGTTGGATGTATTCGAGATAAGAGACAATGTGTTGCTGTTGTGTGAATTGTTGCATTGACATTGGTGAATTGTTTTAAACTGCTAACAATGCCACACTGTGGCAGGTATGGCGACGGCAAAGTCTAAATGGACTCCTGTGAGTCTACAACTTTTCGGCACGTTTAAATTTCAGCCTCCCAGGGCTAAAACGCAATATCGTCTGCAATAAAATGTCAGCCTGTACTCTTGTGCCTGTACACACTGCCACACTGAACCTTGCGAAACAAAATTTCAGTCGCAATACATTTGACGCCAAAGATGTCCAGGCCGAAAATAGCCGAAAAATAAATGTGCACGGAATATTTGTTGACTGACAGTACTAGCCACATCAAAATCACAAGACAGAGATGAGCACAGGGCTAGTACTGCAGAGACTGCTTCCCCAGAATTGATTCGAACACATGCGATGGAATGCAGTTCATTTCCTACTTACCTTTTCCTGCTGTCGAACTTCACATTCCCTCTCCTTCTTGCCTAGTTCTGCCTTGGCTTCATCCAGCGCTGCAGCGGGTCAGTAACAGCAGCAGTAAGCAACACCAATCTACCACAGATGCTGCTGATTTTAGTGATCACAACACAACTCCATAGGATAGGGCCTGTGATCTCCAGACCAAGTCTGATGGCCATGTACAAATTACAAAGATCAGTCTCGTCGTCCCACATGCCAAAAGTTACATGGGGATAGTCACTAATGTAATTTGCTCAGATCATGCACAAACCACAAAGGACCGCACGCGGGTGCCTGTGCTTGACTCACCTTCCGCTTTGCGATTCAAGGTGTTACGTAATTCCACCAATTCATTCTCTGACGCCAAGCTGTAATCAAGTGAGACAAACATGGCTTCTTAAGCAATCCGACAAGACATAGGTATACAGTAGAAGTACATTGCAGATGACACAGAATGTGACTAGCGTGAATCCTATGCAACGTCGATTACCCAAGAGTACCCATCGGAAATAAAGAACAAAATTGAGCAGACACACATGTATTCACTGTTGGCAACGTCTCATCCTTACTGCTTGATCATGTTCTCGACGTCGATAACCAGAGGTGCTGCGTCGGGATCGTACGGCCGATCATCCTGATCCTCCTCCTGCAATGTGATCTGCTGAACTGATTTGGAGAGCAGCTGCCACCGGAGTGCTCGCTTGTCATCTACACCAAAACACATTACAGCACATTGAGTAAAACAACGATCCATAAACATTGCGTATACCGTCAACAGTGAAGGCACTGGTGATGCCATGTTCGTAACAGAAACGGAGCAGGTAGTGGTTACTGGTACATCATTGTCAAAACACGTCCGGCAAAAGGCCTAGGGCTAGCTATCTCAAATTTGAAATGTGGATACTGTACTGTGGCACTGTGGTGTCAGTGCAGTTGCTGTGATGGAGATAACGTTAATGGAGTGTAGAGCCGCTGAGTGTGGTGGACCTTTTGGCATCAAACTTACCAGGGACCAGCAGCAGGTGGTTGAGAAGGGACAGCAGGTGAGGATAGGCAGCCGTGTGAGACAGCTTGGATTGCAGAGCTTTCACCAAACCTGTTGCACTCCTCGAGTCAATATGAACCTAAACAGGAGGTGTAAGGAGAGGGAAACATATTACTTAGTATCACCTGAGCAGAGCATGCCTGTGACACAGGTGAGCAGCGACAACAACAGCACTGCAACAATCTATCTTTTCAGGACCTCTTCAAGCCTAAACATCGAGAAGAAAAGTGTAGAGGTGCGCATAGATGCAGTTGTTGATTGAAACTCCACACATCGATCTACCCGTATGATGACCACGTCCAAGCGTAGAGGTGAGCAAACGGCAAAGGATAACTTGACAGCATAAATATAAGCGTGGTATAAAGCCTTAGGGCAGTAATAAACTACATGCAGCCAATATACATTATGTACGTGACCCATTTCTGCACACAAGCGGGCACAGAAAAGAAAGAATAAGCACCAGGACAGTCACAAGGATACAAGCACGGCACTCTCGGATGGGTGCAGAAGTACGTAATACAATCACCTTCCGCGGAGTCAGGATGATCACTGCATGCACGATCAGTTAGATGCCATTCTTCCTACCTGGTTGAATTTGTTGGCAATTATCTCCTCGTCCTGTTGACGGGTGGAGGAGAAAAACTCCAGATGTCTGCAGTGGAAGCACACACAGTAATCAGGTTAGATCCCACTGTCTTTTGCAATACCAGTGAGCGCCAGAAATGAGGGTCACATGCAAGGAGTCCTCGGTGTGCCTCCGTGGAGGACCACTCACCTCTTATATATATAACAACAACACTAACCTTCTCACGAGCTCATTGTTTTGCTTGCGCAGTTTCTCCACTATCGGCTCCAAACCCAGCATGAGAAACTCGTAGCGCAGATGCACACGGAATTCAAGACTGTCCTGAAGTTACAACAACATCATCAGTCGAAGAGAAGAGGTATATCACCTTATTTGTCTACCGTAAGAAGCAATGTCATGTTTGCCAAATTGAGCCAAACAGTAACAATGACAGCTGAGCTGGCATGCCAGCAGAGTTTTAGAGCCATACACAAAACAATAATTCTAGATGTTAGAAGCAGAATGCTGTCATTGACATGGCATGTATACTGTCAACACCGAAAGCAGTCACTGTACACACTGTCCACAGGGCAGAGGTACTGTTGAGATAATGAGCAATGACTTACCTCCCCTGGACCGTATGATAGCACGGCGTTGATGAACGTCATGATCGTTGTTTGAAAACTGACGTCCTCCATTGTTTGGTTACTAGAGCGATCCAGGTCATTGACAATGGTCTGCACACACAGCAGTACATCATACAGCAGACAATACACGTGCATCATGCCCAGTGATTTCCTAGAGTTGGCGTACAGTCTTTTATCTCCCCCCCCCCCCCCCTCACACACACACACAAACACCAAAAAGACACACACGTACGCATGCACGTACGCACGCACGCACATGCCTTGAAACCAGTCTCTGTCCGTTGATCCTTGTCCCTTCTATTGGTCTGAATGTGTATTCTCAGGAGCGACTGAAACAGTCCATAAGGAATGGACACGTAGTTCCTTTCCGAATAGACACTTGTGTACGTTCTATAGACATGACCAGCCAGATATATTTATTTATTTATTTTATAAACAATACACACCATTCGACGGCACAAAGCAGCAAGGCAGCAATGAGATGCGACATTGAATTCAGCATGATGGATAACTGCCAGAGAGACGTCTGCTCACCTGAAAGCGAGTTCTTTCGTTCGCAAACTTCTGAAAGTAGCTCATGCCCACAAGCACCTTCTTGTGTCCATCGGGCACAAGGCAGACAGCAGCGAGAATTTCCAGAGCTGAAACAACACACGCGCACACACACATACACACACACACTTTAGAGAAGGTCTAAATTTTCCCAAGCAGGGTATGAGGAGATACATGCTGCGGATGTACACAGGTTGGGAGCTGAGTACATTGGTGGAGAGGCGTTCAGGCCAATAAAGCACCCCCACACACACCAGGCGCGTGCCCTGTATGGGTTCCTGGGTGCCCGGAACCCCCCCCCTTTTTTTCGCTCAAAATGCAGGATTTTGCTTCATTTTTTGAAAATTTTCCGGGGGGGGGAGGCCCCCGGAACCACCCCCTTGAAGGGCACCAGCGCACGCACCTGCACACAGCATTATCACAAGAAGGCTTGACAACAGTGCATCACTATCACTCACCGGCTACTTTCGCCTTCACATTGTCGCAGGACAAGCTCTGCGAGATGATGCGTATACTGCGCGGGTGAGTGAGAACATGACTGCGGCCGTGTGAGTTGTTCATCATAGCCTTGATGCAGCCGACCACAGCCGTGTGGATAATGCTAGATCTGTAGTCATAGTCCATCTTGTCCAGAAAGTCCAAGATCAACTCCAGGCCCTTGATCTCAATGAAGCGCATGACGAAGCTATCACACAGCGCAGCCCACACAGAGAAGCAAGAGCATCAGGAATGAAATACACAGCAGCGGTGTTTCCGCATTACATCATCCACCTCCCCAAGCGGAAAGGCCGACCGAATGATGCAGTAAGCACAGTGAATCGTCGGCCACTAAATGATACAAGTCATAGCAAAGATGAATGCCGACTGGACTAATATCTCAACAAACCAGTGATGGAATGATGATCCGTATAAAGAACTTTTACATGCCAGCTGTCACCACTATGTAACAACTGCTCGTATAGTCACGGAAAGTTTCTTCGGATACAAACATGCTATAGGAAAATGCTAAGGAAGAGGACAAATGCCTAGCTCTTCACCGGGAACATTTTTGAAAGTTTCCACTAGTATAGTGTCGTGTCTTGTCGTCAGGTGAAACGCAGGCAAAAATCGAGAGGACCAGAACAGTGAACAAAGCAGAGCAGAGAGGAGAGGAGATGGGACACTCCAAAGTAAAGCAGCCAAAACAACAATGGAACAATGTGTGACCTAATACACATGGAAAGAGTGACAAAAAGGTGCAAGTGTGAAGTGTGACTGTCAAGTGTGAAGAAACTTAACAAGCGTGAAAAGTAGTGCGACAACATCACCATCAGGCAACCAATAACCTGTATTTCCCCATGACAGTGTCATGAGGCAACCAATAACCTGTATTTCCCCATGACAGTGTCATGAGGCAACCAATAACCTGTATTTCCCCATGACAGTGTACTCAGTAGTGGACACTTCCAAAAATTGTTGCTGGTGAAAAGCCTGAATCTAGTCAATGAACTAGCACGTGATGGTTTTCCATACTGTACAATGAGCAAGCATTACCTGTTGGGCTGAGTTCTCAAGGCTGTCTTCAGGTGGTTTACCGTCTTTGACCGTTTGCTTAGTTCGTTGATGTCATGCGTGAATGGCATCTGCAGCACACACATGGACATGGTATGTATCATTGTATCAATTTTGAATCACAAATAAATGGAGTGTAGCAACTCTACAATACCAGTATACATTTCGACCAGCTAACAGTCCCCCCCCCCCCCCCCCCCCCCGGATTTCATTCCCTCAAAACTGCACACATGCTAAGATCCAAAAGATCACTACTGGAGAATTTTGGTCACTTGCTAGTATTCGTACACAGAAAGCATTCTACAAACCCGCACTGGCCGTAAAACAATGCTGCTCAGTGCTGTACACAAAGATACAAACCGATAATAGCGCCATTAGTATCCGGACTTACCGATGCAAGCCTCTGGAACTCTTCCAGGTAGTTGTCGGCCGAACCTCCTCCACTCCGGCCTTCATCCTATGCACACCGCAAAACAACCAATGCAGCCAATCAATCACTCTGAATCTATATCCAATATTTAAACAGAGCTAAGGCTTTAAAAAGATTTACCGAAAGACCAACCAAGCCCCAATCTCGCAAACATGTAAAGAGCGCCGCCTCCTGTGGCTGGGGAACGTTGCCCGGGAAGGACCAGACGCGGCCTCTTACAAGGCACTGCAGCTAGCCCTCAATACTTCGGACATCAAGCGCCCATGTGGACGACCCCACAAGAGATGGGTCGACAACATCAAAGAAGACCTCAAGCTTCTGAATTGGCCGATTCAGGAATGCTTCAATCTCGCCACCAACAAGCAACTCTGGCTAACGATCATTGACAGATGCATGGCCCCGTATGATTTGTTTATGCGGGCAATATGCGACCTGTCATATTATTATTAATAAGGCTTTAAAAAATTGATACACTGTATGAGAACTTTTCTGTCAGGGCTAAGAAATTAATTTGCAGCTCCTACTTTGTGGACACTCGCACCACCAGTTACGATGCATGTTTTCTCAGTTGAAACTAATCCGTCCATTCCCATAGTGCTTTACTGCTTGTCAAGTTTATTGTTACACAAGCGCTATCTTGTTCAATATAGGAAACCGAATGAAATAGCATCCGGAACAAATCTTCCTTCTACATTTTTCTTCGAATCATTTGAAACAGCAAGTTCGATCACTTCCATTGTCTGGTCGAAGCTATCAACATTTTAGCCTCATTTGCAATGCGAAAGGAAATCTCCAATATCAAACAACAGCCTAGGTGAATAGAAACGAGGAATAAAGACCATCTGGCAGCACAAAGCATGTCATGAATCCATGAGTAGCCAGCCGACCATATTGGGCACACTTCCTCAGGACCACGTGCCCGCATACACTGGGTGCTGCACGGTGGCAGTAGCAGCAGCGGCAGGAAGCACCTCGGTAGTGCAGATACGGCTGTCACAACCGGACCGGACACCGGCACAGGTGGCCACCACGCCACTCGGCCTGCCGCCGCAGGAGCCACAATACGCACCCAGTGCAGGAAGGAGACCTGCACGCATGGCTGGCCTATGGCATGACGAGTGTCTGTATTTTCATGACCACCACGGCAATGTCTTGCGGAGCCAACGTGGACATGCCCAGTTGCTAAGAATACGATATCGGGGGATCACAATTTTCTTTCTATGTCTCCCAGGAAACGTGCATATATCGTATATCTTAGCCAGACGTTCACTGGGCGGCGGCAAGCCCTCTGTACCCACTGTAACCCACGTCATGTTTTTGATTCATTACCGTGCAGTGCAGGGTCAACACCTTACCACGTTGGGCCTGCTCAGGTCATTGGAGACGATGATCTGCCATTTCTTATCTGCTGACAGGCTCATCATGATGTCTCTCTTGTCTGCACTCAGATCCAGCTCACTCTGGGCACATAATTCACAACACAGTACAGGGTAGTACACGCAAAACACACAGTACAGGGTAGGTAGTACACGCAGAACACACAGAAAACGGAGAATGTGAACACCTGTAGCCAGTGTAGGTAACATTACCCTTTTTAGAGCCACAACTCAGAGAGAGAGAGAGAGAGTATACTAGTAGGGGGAAATCAACCCCTGGTCCCCTGAACAATAATTCTACATCTGCTCTGCATGGGGCACAACAACTTTGTCATACCCACACAGAATACAATGTCATGTACAAATGTAATTGCAAATAGTCCAATGGAAGCACGAAGTTTCTAGGTCCAGCACCCAAGAGACATCATGCATGTCGATTTGGAAAACGAATTATTAGTAATTTATATATTTTTGAAGGAAACAAATGCAACATGACCTCCACCTCCACCTCCACTGACTCCAGCGACTTCGCTAGTATGCTGTTGACATTTCCGTACCACACTGTTGAAATCGCAACAATAACATTTTATTTGTGTGCACAGACGCAATGTGTATTGTGAACACAGCGAGCTAGGCTGAGGAATCATCCTTCATGATGATCGAACGATTTCATACAACATCAAAGGCTATGCGGCAATGCTGCTCACCACAACTTTGTCGAACTGTTCGTTCAGCTCATCCTCCGACGGCATCGGCGGAGCGGCGGCCACCGCTGGCTCATGGTTCTTACCACGAGTTGCCGAGCGGCCTCGAAAGCTAGCTCTACCTGATGAGCTCTTCTCTCCTCGCCGAATGGGTGTCCTGACGGATTCGCTCCGAGTCGGACTTTGCGGACCTTGCCGCTTCTGCCTGAACCATTTCAGCATGATGACGATACTACGGTAACAGTACTAGTAATACTAGCAGTGTAATACTGGTATTGTCGTCAAGACGTTTCACCGTTTACACTTAGCCACGCTCCGCCATCCAGTAATCTCCGTCAAAACCAGGTTGCGGCAACGGGGCTGCGCAATGCCAGCGACTGGAGGAAATCCTGTCTTCTACTTCTGCTTTGGCAAAAAACCATGCAGCAGCAGTGTAGGAAACACCAAACACTGGGTTTGACAGCGGTTCACCTCAGTGCGCTTCCACACCGTCGTCGTGTTCCGGCGCAGCGCCCAAAACGGCAAGAGAAGGACCGTTAGTGCACGCTTGGTGCGTGCATGAAGTACTGCGCACACTAGCACCAGCAAAACTCAAACCAGCGATCCAAAGGGCAGCAAGGTCGTTACAGAACAGCGTGGAAACTGAAGATGGCGTCGAGTGAGCAGTACTCTACTACCAGCGGCAGCAACAGCAGAGGAGATACTGAGCTAGCTACAACAAACGTAGATTCTACGAGCGACTGATGGCTTTCCAGCACTTCAAACGATCGCCCACGATCGGCACTATTTCATGCAGAGAATTATTGCGATCTGACTTCGCCCTTCCTGACTTTGAAGATGCAGTGAGCATATGATATGACTCAGTCGGCCACCGGTGCACCCCTCACACATGCACACTCACCGCATGCCCTGCATGCACTGCATTCTTATCTTCTCCGTCTCGAGTCTCGACACAGTCAGCAGTACTGCGGCCCATCCAAGCCGTAAATCTTCAGTCAAACTCTTGATCTACCATGTCTACTGCTAGCATGCTATGACACAGTATGTGCTAGCATGCTGTGTAGATCTACCATGGCATGGACATGGTGTAGATCTACATGGTGTACATGGTGTACACAGACATGCAGCACAGTCTACAATAGTCAGTGTAGGTCTACCATGTAGATCTACCATGCCAGGCAGTGACATGATCATGGTGATCCTGCCATCATCCTGGTGATGCGGGGCACGCATGCAGCGCTAGCGCTAGCTCGCAAGTCTAACTCTTACTAGTAGTACTCACACACTACTACTACTAGTACTAGTCACTAGTACTAGTAGGGCTCAAACGGTCACGGTTTTACCCCTGACGGTTAACTGCTAAGCTAACGGTTATAACCTACATGTACATGACTGTATAAGCCACGGCAATCCTGCGGACTCTTTTTTAACCGTATATTTGACTATACTCATTCAAAAAATGTACCCTATTCAGTACAACGCGTACGCACACTTGTACATTCTCTTGCATGCTCATTCATACATACTCTCACACCAAGAGACCAGATATGACCGAGTTGACAGCCCAGAAATTGCGTATGCGTGCGACAGCCCGCGAAAGTGCACACTTTGCAACGACCTGATACTTGAAAAATTGACTGAAAAGTTACTGCGTTTAAAAGTAACCGTTATCTTTATCGGTTAACCGGTAATTCTTCGTAACCGGTCTGCAACCGGTTAATCGGACTAATCGTTTGAGCCCTACTTACTAGTCTTTTTATAGTTCGCAACGCATGTAAAAAAATATCAATGTAGTCCGGGATCCGAGTACTCAAAAACGTCAAAATCACAAGGTTTGCTGCCACCAAAACCCGAGTGCCTGAGAGTTACATAGATCGATTCCCTAGATATCAAAGCTGTAGAAAAGCCTTGTTGGACGTCCTGGATCGGGGAATAATGTGATAACAGTGTCACTAGCACTGAGTCTGTGCATGTGTGGGCCTCATAATTCATATCACATCCTACATTATCATGACACATGTACATGTAGATCAACGACCCAGCTCCAGAACAAAAATACAAGCGCTCCGACTCGCCCACACACTACTGGTGCCGGGTAGACCATGCACGGGACATGGTAGACGAGCATGAGCTCGAGCCCGGCCAAAACAAATAATGACCTTGTTTCCGGTCGGCCGACCGGGCCGGGCCACTTTTCCCCTGAAACTTTTTTTGGTCCCAAATGTATGCAAACGGTGGCAGTGCCATGTGTGCAAGTGCACTCAACGAGTCATAACCCAGTCAAATCTCAACCGAATTCCACAATCGAAACACCTACAAGGTAGCAGAGATCCTCAGCTGTCGGCTCGAAAACCTCCGGGGTCGATACGAGCTAGAATAACGGAGCTGGAAGGACTCGAACTGTTTGCTTGATTTCTCAGGATGTACGAAAACAGGAATACACCACATGCTGTACAAGAACAGTGAGTCAGTCAACTTTGACATTGATCCTTGCCATGATATATGTACAATGTACATGTGTAGGTACTAGTACTAGTACTAGGTGCTTTAGTCCATCATGTCAATGCCACAACGATTGAGGAACCAAAAAAAGTATCCAAAAAAAGTTTCATTCCGGCCGACCGAGTCTCCTTTTTGAGGGTTTGCCGACCGGAAATGAGCCTATTTTTTGTTTTGGCCTGACATGATGATAAGGTCACGTTACTTTTTTTTCTTTACTTTAGCCCCCTACTACAGTGCTGGCAACTGAAATCCGACCCTCTTGCCGGCGCGGCGCCGGCAAGAGGGTCGGATTTCAGTTGCCAGCGCACTGTAGTACTACCAAACAGGGAGTCGTAAAATACCGGTATTTTACGACTCCCTGCTACCAAAGTACCATGCACTACGGCCGGTCCCTATGCCTAGCCCGGCCCCTGGCGCCATGGCCTAGGCTAGGGACGGGCGGATTCTGCTCTCCTCGAAAAGGTGGCAGATTCTGCTCGAAAAGCAGTGAAATTGGCAGAACCATACAAACCTTATGGCGGGCAATTCCTCGAATTCTGCTCCATATTTTTTATCCACATGCCAAACATGCATGAAACTTACCAGAAAAAGTACCGAATTCTGCCAATTTTTCTGCCGGCAGAATCCGCAGGACCCTAGCCCTAGCCCTAGCAATGCTGACGGCTCATTTTATTCATAATGGTGGTAAAGACAAGTAACATTGTAGCGTTGGCACGCTAGTAACTTACACAGCTGCAGCGTGTCTTTCAATGTATTGGTCACGCGTGTTGCACCGCACCCTGCACTTGCAACTCTTACTACCATGCTTGCAGACCCATGACGTGCATAGTAACTAGTCTCACTGTGTTCATGTATTACTCCCACACACTAGGATCTAGAATGACCTGAGGAATACTAGCACATGTACCCTGTAGACCCTTTTGATACATTTCACTTTCGACCTCCTTTTCATTTATCTACACACATCCTAATGAGACTTCCTTAGAATTCCTAATGGCTGTCTTCCCGGTACCTCCTTTACGCCCATTGCCCACACTGTTATTCAGCTCCTTCTTCTGCATAGAATCAAATGGCATTCCTTGTGCAATGACTGTGGCCCACACATCTTACTGTGACCTTTCTTCTTCTACTCTACGTATCCCCTGGCTATAGGCTAGCTTACTTACACTAACAATTCCTCACCCTATAAAAGCTGCTGTTCACAATTCTCTTCATGTCAGTTTAGAGTTAGAGTCAGAGTTAATGTTTAATAATTATTAACAGTGTGTTCACTGAGACCCGTCTGCATTTGCCTCCGAGAGAGACTGCGGCCCGTTACAGAATTGGTGGCAGCGGTAAATTCATTTTGTTTCATTCTATAACTATCTTTGTTACTTTCCACGTTACTTCGATACGATGGCTCAACCTAATGTACCTGCCGGGGCACCCGCCGCCGCAGCCCCAGCTCCGCCCGCGCCTGCCCAACCACCGAGAGGGGCGTACCATGTGCAGCCGGAGAAATACAAGGGTCGCCTGGAGGACAACTTCGCGTCCTGGCTGATGCATTTCGACCAGGTCGCCGCGGTAAACAACTGGACCCCCGTCCAGCAAACGCAGTTCCTGGGCCTCGCACTGGAGGGCGAGGCCCAGCTGTATTACCAATCGCTCCCTGCGGCCACCAGGAACGGAGGCCGCCAACAGCTCGTCCAGGCGCTGCAAGCTCGGTTTGAGCCAGCGCAGCGCGTCGACCTCCATCGCGCAACATTTCAAGCTCGTCGCCAGGCCAAAGAAGAACAACTGGGGGCTTTCTGTGAGGCTGTTCGCTCCCCGGCCCGGCAAGCATACCCCCAGATGGCCGCGGGGGACCTCGACAGTCTAACCAAAGACCAATTCATCTCTGGGCTCGACTCGCGGGGCATGCGGGTCCGCGTTCGGGAGCTCAACCCGCAAACGACCGACGGGGCACTCCAGGCCGCGCTCCATCACCAGGCAATCCTCGCTGCCGAACTGCCCGCCGCGGACTCTGTGCCGATCCCTGCCTTTGCTGTTTCCCAGCCACTCGACGCGGTGACAGACCAACTGAAGGCTGTGTTAGACCGTCTGGCAACGTTGGAGGCCAGTCTGCCAGGACCAACTCGTCGTTCCCGACCTGACCAACCACCACAGCCCCCGCAGACGCAAGGCCGCACACCTGTCACCTGCTGGTCATGTGGTCGCCAGGGTCATATCAGCCGAGAATGCCGTGCCCGTCGTCCTGCGCCGGCGGGAAACTACCGGCGGCAGTACTAAGTACCTCGGACACTAGGCCTGCCGCATCCTGCTCTTCCGGGACTGACGTAAGCACTGTGTTTATATGCCTTGCTGTCTTGCTCCTTACCCACCCTGTTACGCTCACGATTTTAACTGTTTTGCTCGCTGTGCTGTACCGCCACCGCCTCCCTGATGTACGTGCTTTCTTCCCCGACCTCTCCCCATTACACCTTTTTTCGTCGAGCTTGTCCCGACGCGACCATGCATGCCGCCTCCCTGTAATACCCGTAACTGTGAACGCAGTCGGTTCCAATGCTTTGTTAGACAGTGGGTCTTCCAAGTCAATTGTGAGCAAGAAGCTGTGGGATTCCCTGAGGAATCGCCCGTCCCTGTCCCCTCCGCCTCCCTCATGCATCCTTTCTGTGGATGGCTCGTGCGTAGCGATTTTGGGTCAAGCTGAGTTACACATTTCTGTTTCGCCCACCACCCCGCCTGTCCTGCATGATTTCTTAGTTGCCTCCATCCATCCCGAGGTCATTCTAGGGGTTGACTTTTTGCATGCCCAAGCGTGTTCGCTTGATTTCGCCGCTTCCACCATGTCCATTGCTGGTCAGGTTATTCCCCTGCATTCCCCCGCCCTGATCCCGTCACCTGTCCATGCCGCTTCGCTCTCCGCTGATCCCGTTGTGATCCCGTCCCCTGTCCATGCCGCTTCGCTCCCAGCTACTCCCGTTTTATGCACGCTTCCCGCTGCTGTGACCGTCCCGGCCATGTCTCATTACATCTGCTCTGCTAAAGTTGCTTCCTGCCATTCCGATAGCCCCCTGCTGTTTGAGCCATGTGAGTCTACGTGCAGTACCCACCACATTGTCGGCCTCGCTACGCTGGCTACCGTCACTGATAACATGGTGCCCGTCCGTCTGATCAACCCCAACGAGCACCCCATCACACTACCTGAGAACTGCCCGCTTGGCTCTCTGTCACCAGGCACCATCGACCCTTCGGCCACACAACCTCCTGCTGATTACCCCGCTGAGTACACCTCTGCTGCTGCTACCGCTCAGTCTGTCACTGCTATGTTCAACACCAGCAATCTG